TATGATATAATATGTATAATATTTCACACAAGTAATATGATGATGTAAATACTTTTTTATTTCTTTCTACTATTTTTTCTTCAGTTAAAATATATTTTGTTTTTCCTTTTGTAGATCATCTGGGATTTTAACTTTTAATTAAGAATTTAATTATTATAAATAATGTTTTTAGGACAATGCACTGATAATTATCAGTTTTTAAGACTATTAATATTCAAAGTTATATATTATTGGTAAAATTATAAATTATTACAGAGAATATAAAATGCAGAAATGGAACATATAAAAACATATAAAATCTGCCTCATATTATCATACCAAGTATTTTAAAACTGTAAAATGCCATTTATGAGCAATAATGTTTAATATATGATTACTATCCATTAGAATATCTCTGATAAGCAATTCAGATTGATAAATCTAAAAACATAAATGCTACACATATATGAGATAGTGATATTGTATATATATATATATATATATATTTTATTTGGAAAAGAAATTAATGTATTACATATAAAAATTAAGTTCTATGCTTTATGTTGATCTAAATAATCTGGATATTTTTACAATTAAAATAGCCTATATTTAAATTTATAAAGCATTATATAAGTAACTATTTATTTCAATTTTCCGTTTTATAAATAATAAAAAATAATTCGTTACTTATATTTATAGCAAGTGAAATCATTTCTTCTATACATTTTATAAATTCAGATTAATATGCAATTTTGTTTTTACTAATAAAACTAAAAGTTCAATATAAATTGTTTAATATATAAGAAAAGTTAATAATTAAATTTTATAAAACGATGAATTGAAATACTTGGAAATATGTAAAAAACATTTTTTTTAATTAAATTATAAGAAAGAAATTTTTTTATTATAGCTTATATGTAGCTAATATAAGATCAACAGCCATTTTGTAATTATGCCATCATGTGTCCTATGTTATATAGAGTAAAAGAGGAATGGAAATAAGAAAGACAAATATAAACATTAAAATAAAATACATTATGGTAATATAAAACTGTTGCATTTAATAATGCATTAATAAAATCGTTAGTATATAGTTTTTAGAAAAAATTAAAAAATAATAAAAGTTTCAATAATATATAGTGCTCTGCTGGTCAGTAGATTGATTAATTAAATGTTTTTAAAGCAAGATTAGTACATATAGTACTTTTATATCTTGTAAAATTTATCATTTTGCATTCATTTATTCTGTTTATTAATATAATCGAAACAAAATGTTTATTTATGATAAAAATCAACAAATATTGTTTCGAATTTGTTTCATGTACATTGCTATATTATGATTATTGTGCCTATTAAGTATAGTGATTTGTCTGAAATGATAATGCATAAATGCATTAATAAGATTTTGGAAGATCTAGATAAAGCAGTATTATCTGTAATAATAATATTAATAACTTAATCATAAATACTTATAAGTACTTTTTTATCCTTTTGTACAATGCATTATATTCCATTTATTAATATGTATTTTATTTATAAACTCTTGATAACAAAGAATTTTCTCTTTCTTATTTCCACTTTTCAATTAATACAATTTTTATACTTTTATAATAATATTAAAATTATTGTATTAGATTAAAAAAAGATAAATTAAAAATTATTAAGATAGAAAAAAAATTTTCAGCACTGCCAATAAACTATAGTTTTTTTTACAGTTTTATCTCAATTTTATAATTAATCAATTTAGAAAGTGATTTATCTTTTATTAAAAAATTACACAAATTTAAAAGAATTGTTGATATAATAAATATTTATTCCTATTTTTATCTCTTTAATTTAAATATATAAGATATAAAAATTATATATCTATAATAGCAGTATAATATACAACAAAGTATTAAAGAATACAAATTAAATACTAAATGTAATAGAAAAAAAAAACGCTTATATATTGTACAAATAATGCATTTATTTGAAAACTTTTTCACAAGTATTAATCCACTTTTTAAGATTCAATGGTATATTTTGTACAGAAATTTGTTTAATTACAGACCATACAGCAATATCAACAATATTTGGTTTATTTTTTCCAAACCATTTATTTGTTCCTAATTTTTTTGTAATAAATTGCAATATCAATTGCTGCTTTTCTGATGATTTTTCTATTTGTAGACAATAGCAATAATCAAGTACAGTATCAAATATGTTTGCTTGTGCAGGATCTAAACAACTGTCAAAATTATGTATATCCAATATCCTACTTAAATATCTTAATAAGTTAACTTCGCCAAATAAAGAATAATTATATAATCCTGTGACAAATTCAAGATCCTCAACTGTAAAATTAAAATATGATAAAAATGCATATTGATTGAATTTTTGTACAAAAATATTCATTCATTAATATTATTATTATTTAATTTACCTTCTTTCCATATGAGGAATAAATTTATTACATTTGGTTTAGGTGGATGTATATCACAGATATATATATCAGGTACATTTCCAATAACACTTGAATGAACATATGATTCCAATTTTATACTAATATCATTCCAAACTTTTTGAAGTGCTAATATGGAGTATGGAGGCTTCTTCGGATTTACATTTATTATTAAATTAACATTGATTGATTTAGGTTCATAATATACATCAGAAAGCATATTATTTTTCTGTTGATAATTTTATAAAATAGTAAGGGATTATTATTTAAAAGAATATATAAAATCATAAGAGTTAATAATTATTTACCTTTTTATTGTAATCTGCTGGCATCTTTACATGATTTGGATGTTTTAAAAAGTCGCAAAGAGTAGATACTTGTTTCTTAAGTTCTGCTAATTGAACTAAAATTTTTTCTTGTCTAGCTTCTAATAAAGCATATTCTGGTAAAGGATTCTGCAAATAATCATAATATTTGAAATATGTACATATTTAGTTCTATTACTGAAGTATAACTATGATGCTATAATCAACAATTTTAGTGTATACTGAATTATAAATTAATTGTACCTTATATTTTTTAAAGAATATATAATAGCAATTTAGATCTAAATAAATATACTCAGATGTTAACATACTATTATACTAATATACTTGTCTAAAAATGATCGTTACTATAAAACATATTTTTTATTCTACTATACTGTAAAAAGATTTCAAAAACTTTGTCCTTTGTATTATAATAATTGTATCTATGCAATTATCATAATTGTTTTTAATGAAAAAGTCTCTGCTTTTTAAATCTATCATTTGAATGTCATTCTATATTAATATTTTTCTATGTTGATATTTATATAGTTTCATTTCTTAGTTCTTATGTATCTTTGGTTATACAACTGTACTTTTGTAGCTTTTAGTGCAGTTCTAATTTAGTAAGCTTGCCATTCTTCTGTTTCAATTGTCACTATATTGCACTGTTACCAGAAGCCGAGTTATTTTTCACAGTAGGCACTCGCATTAGATCCTGTTATACGAAAAATTGGAGGGGCAAACATCGATCAAGCTTCGAGAACCATATTCTCGGTCGATCGTGATCAGTACTCGTGGAAATTTTGGGAGGAGTCATGCACGACAGGTCGAAGAAAGAAGAAACATTGATTCGTGCCATGGCTAGTTGCCGTGCGAGTAAAAGGGTAAATTCAGTTTGTTATTTAATGTCATTTTATATCGATAATGGATACTAGAAAAAGATGGAAACCTTCAAAAACTCGATAACCTGCTCTGTAACATCGGCAATGATCTTGATCCCTGTTCCCATATGGTCGCCTCTTCCACTTTCTCCGTGAATATTTTTCATCTCGTATATCCTATCCATACGATGTGACATATCGGGCAAGGAAATGATCGGTTTCATTGTATACATCGTGGTTTCGCCGCTTCTTTCAGTCAGTCTCATATCGAATATATAAAAATCACGTTACACGTGTTCGTCAAATCGTTCGCACTTTTGTTCTCGCTTCGTATTTTTCGAACTTGTTAGACAGCCATCTTTATTAGTTGTTTCTGTCTGCTTCTATTGCTTTTTGCCATCTTTGTCCCCCCTCTTCTTTCTTTATATGCCCTTGTACCAGGCATTACTACATCCGTTATTGTATTTTCAAGCATAGATGGCATTGCTGTAGTTTAATTAAAATCATTTTACCACTTTTATACTTATATTATATCTCTAAAAAAAAAGATATGGAAATTCTTAACGTGTAAATGTTCTACAATATTTTATACAAATAATTTATTGCAGAGAGTAATTTTTAAATTATAAATCCATAAAAGTTAAAGATTTTCTTTTTATATATTTATTCAAAATTTTTTGATTAAACCATTGATCAAACTTCAATATAAATTAATTGTCGCAAATATTATTATTTTTGCATTAAAATCGTATTTTCTTAGAATATGAACTAAAAAATACATATATATTATCATTTATTTTTCACAATATTTTATTTTGTATTTTTCTTCGTACTATCTTTGACTATTAGAATCAAATATTATAGTACTTATTAGTAGATATTATAGTACTTCATTTTATTAATATTGTATATAAGGCAGATAATATTTGTTTAATAATTGACTTATCTAAAAAATTAAAGAAATATTAAAATGAAACATTTAAATTTCGTGATTCTTTGCCATTCAGTTTTGTTCTATACAGATGGCGTGGTTGTTAATACTTGTTTTAATGTATAAAAATAATGTTTGAATTGATCTATTGAACAAATGTATTGTTAAGATGTTATATACATTCAAAAAAAGAAAATTCACATTGTTTAACTAGACATTATATTTAAATATACATTTTTTAAAGCGGTCATTGATTAGGCCAAAGTGGTGTCCTCTGTCGAAGCTTCTATTAAACTAAGGTTAGATTGGCAGATCTTTCGCTGATTACGGCTGTTTTCTCGTCTGTAAATCAGTCATTTCTTTATCAAAAGTATTCAAAGAAAATTAATTAATAGTGATTAACGTATAATTTTGACGAACGCGTAATCGCAATCTCATATTGAATAAAGGTGAGGACGACGGTTCATCGGAAGTGCGGTTAGAATCGCATTTTTTTTTTGAACGCACATATCGCCACCTATGGTTGATTCGATAAGGTCTTCTCTAGTTACGGTGAAAAAGATTGGATCTTGCATACGTTTTGCGTGAATGCGGAAAAAGAGGAAAAGCTTATGCATAGTTTACTTTTAATTAATCGGCCTTCTTTAGAATTTTGTGTGCCATATAAAGATCTTTCGTCAAAAGGAAAACTGCGAGTTTTTGTTTAGATCTTGGCTATATTTGTAGCAGATGCGTTTCGAGGACTGACATGGCGGCGATTCGATGAACCAATTGGAGCAGCGCTCTCTTAGAGAAGGCCGTGTTGTAAATTCCCCTTATATTCCGCGTCAGCGAGCTATTCCGTACTTCGTTTTGTCGTTATTGCTGGTAAATCATTTTTATCAAGAAGAAGAAGTGATAGTTGTCGATCGGTAGTATCGAGGGGTGGCTTCAAGAGATTTCAACGGGACGTTAATAATGAGAAAATTGTGTTTGGTCACGTGACCGTAGCCGAAAAATGGCGCAAAGATCAGAGTACAAACATGGGTTCCATTTCGTTGCTGCGGTGTCATTTGTATTTGTTTACAAGCGCGCTTTTTCACAAAACACGTGTTAAGTAAGTGCCATTTTTTTGGCAGTGGGTGACAGACAATGACGGGAAGAGGTTCCAAAAGACGGGGCCGGCCACCGAAGTCGGTGGTCATGGAAAGGCCCAAAAAGTTTCAATATCACCTTATGAAGAAACCAAAATATTTGCAAAACAAGGATTCAGAGACGCCAAACTCACAACCGAGTACACCAACGGCATCGAGACCTTCTTCACCAGTGGAAAGTGAGGAAAGTAGACGTAGTACACGAAATCGAAAATCTCGTGGGCCGAGGGATAGGCACTCGCGTAAAGGTGGTCATTCTAGTTCAGGTGCATATCAGCGCCGAGGTTACAATCCGAATGTGGATTACCATGACTCTGAATATCATTATGGATCTGATTTTGGTGATGAATCCAGTGAGAAGAGTGAAGTAGAAGAAGATCCTCTGCAAAGCGATATAGATTCTTCTGAGAGTATGGAAGAACCTGATCCATCTAGCGATAGTGATTTTTCTCTCTCTAGTTATAGTACGACCAGTGGTACACCCCGCAAAACACTTTTGAGTCAACAACGACCACCAAGTCCAGAGCCGTTGTGGCTGCAAAACAGAGAACTTCCTTCTCTTACTCCACCAAAATCTTCAGATGACTTATTGGTTCCTAAGGAACTTGTTATGCCATCACTTTCCATTTATGAGGTATTAAGACATTTTCGTACATTGGTGCGTCTTTCTTCGTTTAGATTTGAAGACTTTTGTGCAGCTCTAATGTGTGAGGATCAAACTAATTTATTAGCTGAGATTCATATCATGCTAATCAAAGCACTTCTACGAGAAGAAGATTCGCAACAAACGCATTTTGGTCCATTAGATCAGAAAGATTCTGTTAATGTGAGCTTGTATTTTGTTGATTCAATGACTTGGCCAGAAGTTTTACGATCTTATGTTGAAAGTGATAAAAGCTTTGATCAAAATGTTCTACAAATTCTAACAACTTCTGAATATCCTTTTACATCTACTGAAAACAGAATCAAGGTCTTGCAATTTTTAACAGATCAATTCCTGATAACAAATCCAGTTAGAGAAGATTTATTGCACGAAGGTATGATAAGTAATATGTTAAATATTATAGTAATACTACATTTTATGTTATATAATAATTGGATTTGGCAAGATACAATATCATTTATTTTGATATACAATCATATTGCTATAATCAGCAGGATAACACTTATTATGACCATGCTGATAGTTCACTATAATTTTTAATTACTAGTTTCTATCTATTAAATTGTAATAATGGAAGTATAAATGTAAAATTATCAAATAGTTCTTAATGTTTATTCATTTAATGTAACAATATGTTAAAATAATTCGAATTTTGTATAAATAATTGATATCTTTATATTTTACTTATGAGATACATAATATTTTTATATAATACATGTAAAATGAAAATGTTATTTATAATAAATAAAATAATTTAATTTTATTTATTAATATATAAAATTATATTAATAAAATTTTTTCTAGGAAATATGCATTATGATGACCATTGTAGAGTATGTCACCGTCTTGGGGACTTATTATGCTGTGAAACTTGTCCAGCTGTTTTTCATTTAGAATGTGTTGAACCTCCATTAGTAGATGTTCCTACAGAAGATTGGCAATGCAGTACTTGTAAAGCTCACAAAGTTACAGGAGTTGCTGATTGCATTCCTGATGTTGAAAAAAATGGTTCTTTATGTAGGCAAGAACATTTAGGTTTTGATAGACATGGTAGAAAATATTGGTTTCTTGCAAGAAGAGTTTTTGTGTAAGATTTCTATTTTACAAATGATAGCAAAATTGTTATTTTATATTTTTATCTACATTATAACTATATTATAATTTTATAGAGAAAGTGAAAATGGAGAAGTTTGGTATTATAGTACACCATTACAGTTAGAAGAATTAATGCATTGTTTAGATCGTAATGAAATGGAAGTTGCACTTTATCGTGAATTATCAGATTATAAAGATGAAATTGTACGTCAAATGGAACTTACAGAATCAATTACTAATCAATTCAAGGGTAACAAGAAATCGTACTTAGAAATAGAAAATAGTGAGTATTGTATATTAAGCTCTCTATGGTTACTTACATTATCATTTGTATGATATTAATAGTAATAGACATTTATAACATTATGAACTATATAAAAATAACATAAACATTTTAATGATAATATAGGCCTCATACAAAAAATTCAAAAAGAACGTCAAGAAAAGCAGGAAAAAGAAGAAGAAGAAAAGAAAGAAAAACAAAGGCAAGAAGCTGAAGAAATGGTACGCAGGATACACGAAGGTTCTGATTCTTTAGAAGAACGCTTAACAGCAACAACAGAACAAGATAATAAGGGGGCAGTAGAAGAGCAAATGACAACACAAGTACCAGAGATGATAGCTGAAAACATTGAAGTGGATGGGGCTACTAATGTATCTACAACTTTAAATACTGATGTGGCAAACAATACTGTTAAACCTAATACTACATCATCATCTGAGGAGATGGAAGAAGAAACAGCGGAAGGAGAAGAAAATGTTTCAAAAATAGGCAAAGATGGTATGTTATATAACACATTAATATTTTTTTTTTTTTTTTTTTTTTTTTTTTTTTTTTTTTTTTTTTTTTTATATATATATATATATAGAAAACAATTATATAGAAATATAAGATGGAATTTATTTTCTGTAGGTAAGAAACATACTATAGTAACAAGATCAAAAACAGGTTCTTTGCAACCTCGCACTTTTAATATGGATGATTTAAAACGACGAAGTACCTCTTCGATGTCAAGAGAAGAACTTGAAAAGTTAGATAAGAGTTTGAAAGAAGAAGGAGAAAGTACTAGATTGACAAGACAAAAAGCACATCAGATTGCTTCTGGCACACATCTCTTTAAATTGGGAATGGACAACAATTTTAAATCATATGTTAATCAGTATAGCACTAATCCTATTGCTTTGAATAAAATTCAACGAAATGAAGAACGTGATAAGAAACGCCACTTATCACATAAATTTTCTCTTACACAAGCATCAGAATTCAAATGGGTTGGAAGCTTAACAGGAACTCGTGCTCTTTTAGTTAGTACTCTTCGGCAAACTATTCTTCAACTTGAAAGCAGTATACAAGCTCCATTTATGCATACAAATTGGCCACTTTTACGCAAACCATGGACTACTGCAGTAGGTGCATGTATAAATCCAAGAGATTTTGCACGAGCACTCATCGTATTACAAGCATGTATAAAAGCAGTTGTATTTGCTAGTGTTTGGCATGACCAACTTGGACATGTAAAATTACAAAGAGTGACTGCACTTGAGCGAGAAGAGAAAAAACGTCAAGATAAAAAAGAAAAGAAAGAAAAAGAGGATGAAGAAGAGCGTAATAGATTATTTAATTTTGTTAAATATACGTTAGGTTTAAAACATCAAGTATGGAAACAAAAAGGTGAGGAATATAGAGTTCATGGACAAGGAGGTTGGTTATGGGTGTCAGCAAGTCGACGATATAGATTTAGTAATATGAGAAAATTAGGTTTAAGAACTGGGCCACAAAAAATTATGGTGCAAATTAGAGATCAAGGTGGAATAAAAATATTAGCTTTGGATCCTCCTACTTATGAATTTTTAATTAAAGAATATTGTTCAAGTCCGGATAGAAAAAATGATATACATAAAACAACTATAAAAAAAGAAATGGATGATTTATCAATGGAGGAATTGTCTATTGATAATAGTACAAAAAAAATTAAGCAAGAATGTAAGATGGAAAATGTTAAATCTGAAGAAAATGCAGAAATTAAACAAGAAGTGGATAAAAATGGGCCAGTATCAGTTCCTAAAACAGAACAAACAGCAATCAAACAAGAAATTAAAATGAATCTATCCTGTAAGTGTATTATATATAATAAGTATCAAATGATGTGTTATTTTATATATTATATAATAATTTATAAATTTATTAAATCTTATGTTTTTTCAAGTTTTAGCTGGCATGAAAATTGAGAAAGTTTTTACACCAATTAAAGAATTTGAAGAAATTGACATAACAAAAGCATTAACTACACCTGGGAGACTTCATTACCCAAAAATTGGGAAGAAAACTAGAATTGATGATTTTCTTGCACGTCGAACACATTTAAAATTATTAGAAGAGAGAAGATTGTTGCAATCTGTTAGTATTTTTTTAATGATGTTTATTTTTTCTCTTTTTTCTCTATATTTTGTTTGTTTTTTTTTTAATTTATCATTTCTTAGTATAGGTATTCTTATAATTTCTCACGTGTAGATAAATATATTTATTTTGTGCAGGAGAAAACAAAGGAACTTACAGGGCAAACAGGTGGTCATAAAATAGTAGATGGTGACACTGATATTGATATAGAAAACAATGATGAAAGTGATACTGATGGTGGGGATGGTTCTTTACAATCCATATTGTCCGGTAAACAACAACCTAATAAAGCAATATCATCAGCAGCAAAAGAAATGTTAAATGCAATAGGAAAACGCATTCAACAAGTTAGAGGACAATATGCAAATATTATGAAACTTGGAAAGAATGGAAGTTGCTATTCACAATATTGCAATATGACAACTATGCCAGGAAAAATTGCAATTACAGCACAAAGTTTAACATCTACATGTTATTCTCCAATATGTCTTCAGAAAGCAAGATTGAAACGTGACCTTATAGCATTACTACGAAAGGCAAATGCCTTGAACAATAATCAAGTACCATCTCACTCGTCACAAAACAAGACTGATGGAAATGATGAGGCTAAAGATGCAATTAGAAGAGATTTAGAATCTGCTGTTGCTTCAGCAACTCACTGTACCGAAGAATTTCAAACAATAAATGTAACTATAAATAAATCATCAAACTTCAAAGATGGATCAGCACACAGTGCTAAAAAAACAAAATTGGAACATAAAGTATGTATTATTATTTGATTTTTCACATATTTTAGTAATTTATTTATTTTAAAGATTGATTATGAAATAATTTGTATTAATTAGCAAAATAAAAGTCATTGTAATAACACAAAATATAACAAGAATAATTTTTTACAGGGATCAGAAAATGATTCTAATTTGAATAAAAGTGAAACTATAGTTACAACAAAAAGTAATATTGTAACAACAGCTACAATAACTACTACTCAACAAACCATTAAAACAGTTGATGGTATTGTACAAAGTATGCAGGAAAGCATTACTTCTCATAATTCAACTACATTTTTATCAGAAACTAAAACTAGGTATTATAAAAGATCTTTTTAACATATCTCATATGTATTTAAAAGGTATAAACCTTAAATAATAAATGATATGACTTTCAGTAATGTAAATAATATAGGATCAAAAACAACGATTATTAACAAGAGAGGAAGAACAGTACAACGAAGTACAGTAGCTAAGGAATTAAATGCTGATGGAACTGAAAGAATATATACTGCCAGCTCAACGGAAGGAAAAGTTTATTTAAAAAAAGTTGCAATTTCTTTAGCTGATAGAAGGAAAAAACGAACACCAGTAAAATATCCTTTATGTTCGACATTTTGTACAAAAAATAAACGTCGTAGTATTTTACTTCTTCCACAACATGAATTACGAAAATTAGCCAGAGTTGGTGGACGAATACCAGTTCAAGGTTTTCATCATATGGCTAAGGTGTGTATGTGTGTGTGTATGGTGATTTCTATATATTATGTATAATACTAAATAACATTACTTTTTTCATGTCAGTATTTGTAATACATTATCTTATTTTTTCTAAATTTTAGGCAAACCTATCAGTTTGGCCATATCCTTGTCCTAGACCATTATTTAAGACATGTTGGTTATATCGAACAGTTGGCTTAAAATCTTTAGCTGCAGCAGCTCTTCAATTAAGAATATTATGGGCATGTTTGCGTTGGGATGATATGGCAGCAAAACCATTATCTACAGACGGAAAACATCAAATTACAACAGATACAGAGATTATGTCATTAGAAATCTTAAAACATCGCCATGTTGGCCAATTTTTAGATAGAACACAATATTTGCGTCGGAAAGTTGTTATACCCTTAGAACTTCCAAAACAAATCAGAGGTACTTACAAATAAGTTTATATTGTTCTATTGTTCTATTTTCTTTTATTCTATCTTATTTCTCATTCAAAAGAAGTAACATCTATAAGAAGTGGATTAAGGAAGAGGAAACGACCAGAATCACCGCAAAGCACTGAGCCACAAGTTACAGAAGAATGGGTTGATGAAGATAAATTGGAACTATGGGAAATCAAGCAATATGGTGATAGGTTAGCAATATATTTTATGATTATTCATATATTATAATGAAAATTAAAATACAAGACTGCTTTTGTGACGTAGAACAATTGCTTCTTTTTTTAATTACTAACTTTTATATGATTAAGGCATTTATTATAATAAATTACAATTTTTACTTTTTACAAGTTTTAGCTTGCTTATCATAAAATTGCTTTTTGTATAATTAGGTGGAAAGCATGCAATATTGCCGAAATAGAACGAATCGAATATTATAGTCGAAAATACCTTTCCTTGCCTAACACCATCTTATACTAACACTTCGCTTGGTGTGTGTCTCTTCAGGTTAGAGAAGGCTAATGCCCAGATTATTACTAGGAGTCGTTCGGGTGTACCACAATCTGTTGTTGTTGGTCCAAACAGAAATGCTGGATCAAATTCTGGTATTGATCAACTTGTTAGTGGTAAAGCAACTCCTGAAGAAATTAAAGAAAAAATGGAACAACAATTACGTATGCAAAGGGCTGCACATCAACAGAAAAGAGCTTTAGAAACTCTTAAAAGTCCAGCTAATTCCTCTTCTTCAAACACACAACTTGTTAAAGTTACAGCAAATTCTGCCCATGGTACCGTTATAGTATTATTTGATAGTTACAATTGATTAATAGTGTTTAAAACAATTATTTGGTTTATTTTTATAGATGGTTCAGTTAAATTAGTTTCCAAAGTAGCAATACCAGCTAGTCCGAATAGTGGAAGTAAGTCACAATTAACTTCACTTCTAACAACACCTACACAAAATAAAACATTTATTGGAACAAGACGTATTTATATGGCAAAATGTAAGTTATTTATAAAATTGTTATTCTTCTTTTTGGTGTATTGCAATCATTTTATTACAATAATCATCATTATATTTTCAATAAATATATAGCAGCCGATGGAACAACAAAAGTCGTTTCCGGGCCTACAAGTATTTTACCAAAGACGTCTCAAACCCAATCAGGAAATCAACAGCAATCTTTAATTAAAGTTTCAGGTCAAACTGGTAAAAAATAGCTTTTAAATAAGTTTAATTTTATAAACATGCTACTTTTATAATTTATGAATATCATCATCTATATCATTTTAGGGACACCTACAGGCACCGTACAGCACATACAACAAAGGGTACAAATTTTAAGAGGACCTGATGGTAAATTACAAGTTCGTGGATTAATGCCTGGTCAACAATTAGTACAGATGCCAGATGGAAAATTGCATGTATTGAATACAGCACAAGCTATTACTACCAGTATTACACCTACTACTGGTACTACTTCAAATGCACCAACTACACAGGTATTTGTTTTGTATTCTCATATTATAATTTAACAGATCAACAAATTAACAGTTAACAGTTTAACAGATCAAAGAATTTAAAATTATTAATTATTCGTAAAAATGTATAATTTTAGACTAAAACGGTAATAGCTAGCACAGCTAAAGTCTCCACATCAAATAGTAGTACATCTAATAAAAATAGTCCAGCTAAAATTGTAACTACCTTGTCACAAGTATCAACGCCACAACAACCACAAACACAATCGCAACAAGTACAAAAAATTGGAAAATCTTCCACTGTAACAATAGCAAATGTTACTTCTACACAACCTGCAAAAAGTGCAATAGTTGTTGCTAATACTGGTCAAATTGTACAGGGAGCGCAGGTATTTGTCTATATGTATTTTAATTTATTTTAAATTCACATGAAATTGTTAAAATATCAAATAACATTGTTAAATTCATTTGATATGAAAGAGTTTATAAGCTTTACTATGTCTAGTAATGTTTGAATTAATATATAGGTAATATCTTCGGGTAGTCAAGTTTTAAGTGGAAATCAGATAGTTGTTACTAATGCTAATTTGGCTCAACAACTTGCATCCGGAAAAGCACAATTAACAACAATAGGTGGGCATCAAGTTGTAATTCGTAGTACGCCAACAGGAAATCAAATTGTACATTTAAATTCATCAAATAGTAGCATTATAGTAAAAAATGCTGTTTCATCTAATAAACAAGGTAATTTCCTTCTTATCTATATCACTTTTTTTTATAAAACAGGTTCATAAAACTACGTTATATACTATATATTTTTATAGTTCCAGTATTGCAAACCACTCAAGTAATAACATCAACAATAGCGCAAACACCTGAAACAACAAGTGTAAATATTACTTCTAATTCATTAAGTAGTACTTCATGTACTACGTCTACTACAAATCAAACTACTACCGTTCCACCACCTGGAAGCATAGAAGCTTCTTTGTTAGCGGGTCAACCACCAGGTACAGTCATAAAATGTGTCACAGCTCAAGTAATACAAACAACACAAGGACCGCGAATAGTTTTACAAGGATTGCAAGGAGCAGATTTTACGCCGCAACAACTTGCAATGGTGCAACAACAAGTAAAACAACAATTACTAAAAGGTATTGTTAATATATAATTTTGTAAAAATAAAAGCAGAAACAAAAAAAAATATAAAAAAATAAATCTTGATACTCTTTTGTAATATGTAGCTCAAGCAACTACAGGAAAGCAAGGAGTCTTGGGTCCTACAAAAATTTATTTAGCTGTTCAACCTGCACCAGGAAGTAATCAACAAGCACAGACATCTCAAACTTCTACAACAGCAAGTACCCCTACTGTTCCTACATCAAAACAACAAGTACAACATCCAACTGATTCTCCACCACCAGCAACAGGTATAACATTTTTTCTTTGTACACATATTATAAAGAAAGATTACAATAATTACAGTACTTACATTTGTATTTTAGAACCTCAAACTGGTATAGAATCTATACCAGAACTTCCACAAGCATCAGTACCAAGTTCTCCTGAAAAGCCAAAAGTGGTTGTACAACAAGTAGGTCGTGCGAATAATATTGTAACAGAAGAATCTCAAAAAATAAACGTGGTTAATGGTCAGCAATCATCACAATCTGTGAAAGATGACTCTTCAACTAATAAATTTATTCTTACACCAGATTATATACAACAAAGTATGCATTGTATATTTGAAGTTATCAAAAAGAACTTTAGTATCTGAAATTTATGTAATAATATTGATATAATTTAATTTCATTTTGTTATTTTTTTAGCAATAAAAAATGCATTGAAACAAGAAAATCTTAATCCAGAAATAGAAGAAAAGTTATTACAACTACAACGATACCAAGAAAAACAAATGAAGGGAGGAATAGAGAGTTCGGTAACTAGCAATCAAATTCACAGTACACCTATTATAACAACTCCGCGTGCCCCATCTCGTAAGAGACCTGCGCCCTCCAACATTCCACCAGTAACTACAACTTCAAATATACAGTTAACAACAAATGAAAAAGATATTGATTGGGCAGAAACTCCCAAAAAGAAATCAACACCAAAACAAGAAAATCGTGAAATTCCAAAGTAAGCGGGATAGTTAATATGATTATTATAATATTTTTATATGGTATCTTAAAATTGTACAATATTAGAAACAATCATAATAATATTCGTTATTTTTACCTAATTATCATCTATTCATTTTGTGTGCAATGGTAGAATACAGAAATTAAATGAACAATCAGAAAATGAATCTATATCTAAAAATCGAATTGTAAAATTAAAAGACAACCAAGAACAAAGAAGGAAACAACAGGTTCATTCAAGAATGCAAGTTTTATTGTTTCGACATAAAGAACTTTTGAAAAAAGATATACTTAAAAAAAGAGCTTTACTTGAAAAAGAATTACAAATAGATATTCAGGTATGTCCTAATCTTATTAATTAATATCAGAAAGTACATGTATATGATATTTTTAATATCATTGTATAAACTACAATTGTAGAAGGATCTATCAATAGAATTAGCAACAAGAACAAAGGCAGAAAGACATAAACAGGATGAAGTTAAAGTAGGAAGTGCAAAACGTAAAGCAAATGCTCAAATAGCACAAGTAAGTCCACCTAATCGAGGTGGAAGACCAAAAAAACATAAGGCACAAGCAAATAGCAACACATCACCTAGTGCGTCATCTACTGCAACTCCAAGTCGAATTAAAAAAGAAAAGTTATATTGTCTATGTAGGACACCTTATGATGAAACAAAGTAAGCATTCTCTCTCCCTCTCTCTCCCCCTCCCCCTCTCTGTGCGTCTGCCTGCTCTCTCTCTCTCTCTCTCTCTCTCTCTCTCTCTCTCTCTCTCTCTCTCTCTCTCTCTCTCTCTCTCTCTCTCTCTCTCTCGGTGTGTGTGTGTGTGTGTGTGTGTGTGAAGGGTGCACGTAGAACGTGCGCTTATCACTTGTTATGTATGTATATAATTGTACAAACTTTAATTCATTTATTCATTGTAAAGGTTCTATGTGGGATGTGACTTGTGTAATAATTGGTTCCATGGAGACTGTGTAGGTATTACTGAAGAAATGAGCAAGTCTCTTTCAGAGTTTGTTTGTACAGAATGTAGACATGCACGAGATACACAGGAACTATACTGCTTATGTAAGCAACCTTATGATGAATCTCAGTAAGTAATAACCTTTTTAAAATTATTAAAAATTAAAAGAAATTAAAGAAGATTAAAGAATATTAAATTACTATTGTACATTCTTATTAATTCCTTTTAGACTAGTCATATATAAAATTAATTTTTATTTTTAATAGGTTTTACATTTGCTGCGATAAATGTCAAGACTGGTTCCATGGAAGATGCGTTGGTATTCTTCAATCAGAAGCAGATAATATTGATGAATATGTATGTCCAAATTGTCAACGTAATTCATCTGTTAATTTTGCAAACATGAAAAATCTCAATGCCAAGGATTTGGATTTACTGAAAAAACTAATTAAACAAATACAGGTATCTATATTTCTATTTTGAAATGTGTGCTCCATTTTAACAAAAAACTTATTTATAAACTTAAAATTAGGCACATAAAAGCGCATGGCCTTTTATGGAACCAGTAGATCCAAATGAAGCTCCAGATTATTATAAAGTTATAAAGGAACCCATGGGTATGCATTTGTACTTTTGAAATTAAGTATTAATAAAATTTAATCTATATACATATATATAATATTAAAATATTAATATAAATTAATATATATATATTATTTTTATTATTTTTATTATTTTTATTATTTTTATTTGTCTATATTACTCTATTTTCAGATCTACAAACAATAGAGTTAAGAATAAATGATAGATCCTACAAGAAGTTAAGTGAATTTATTGGAGATATGACCAAAATATTTGACAATTGTCGATACTACAATCCAAAAGAGTCACCATTTTTCAAGTGTGCAGAGTCATTAGAAACATATTTTGTTCATAAAATTAAAAGCTTAAGGGAAAAGTTTTCAGAGGGAAAATAAGCAATCAAAACTGTAACTATAAACGAGTGGAAGTGCAAAATTGGCAGTTAAATAGTGCAGTGTAACAAAAATGATCTGTGCCAGTACATGTAGAGATTGAAACTCAAAGTAGAGATAAGTATATAAAAGTAGGATATATTTATTAGACCTGTGTGAATTTTTATTTCCTTTAACAAATGAACTTCTGTCAAACTTATTCTGTGCAATGGATTTTGGACTAGAATTTATAATTTCCTATTTCTTGTAACTATTCCAGACTGGTGATAAATTACCAGTGGTGTATATATATATATATATATATATATATATATATATATATATATATATATATATATATATACACACACATACATACACATATATATAATGAACTGCCTTGTTCACAAAAAAATATAAAGTAACTATAATTATGATGTAACATAGCTACTGTTGAAATGGTCTAAATAATATATATGGAATGAATCTATTTGATTGACATTGATCAATAGGATCATTTCTAAATATTTATAGTATCTAAAATATGACAAAACTAATTCATTCAATAATTATACATAACAAAAATATCTTATTCTTCATCTATCTGTTTTGCAAGATTTTATATAATAAAATTAGACATATAAAAGTTTATTAGAAAATAATAAAGTGGAAATAAATTGATTTATAAAAATGAATTTGAAATGTAGAACATGTTAGGTAAATGTTTATTGACATATTTGATGGTTTACAATATTTTAATGCTTATATTTTCTTCTATAATTATAAGTTGTGGTTCAAAATTCATATGGTACAGGTGATATCATTATCTATAAACATATACATGTACTAAATGCATGTATAAATAACTATGCATGCTACAATTGCAGATATATAAAGTCGGTGCCACTTCATATTTAAGATTATGATCAACAACAACTTTATAGTAAACTAATACATGTTTTTTCAAACGAAGAGAATTTAGTGATGAAAGACCATTTGACAGTTTTTATTAACATGATAATGATCTGATTACTATTTCGTCATATAGCTCACTCATAAAAGCGTTCTGTGTCGTATAGCTGTAAAATTCTTTAGAACGCGCATAATAAATTGTACAAATTTGTTTATTGTGCTCACAAGTAATTATTATTATATTGTTTTAATCACTTAAATTTTCTATGAAATTGTTTATAAGCTAAACATATGATGTTAAGTTATAAGGAGTAAGCAGATATCTGCTTTGTACATACGTGAGTAGAAATGTTTATGAAAAACAAATGAGCTTTGGTTTGGTATAATACAATACCGAAATCAGTCTAAACACAAAAAGCTGTTTTCGATACAAATATTGTTTATATTATAACTATTAAAATATCATTGAAAGATTGCTAATTATCTGCAAATGAATCATATTTGGTTTCATATTTCGAAAGAAGGGATTTGTCAAAAAGTAGTATTTGGCAATAAGAATGTTTCATGGGCGTGGTATGAATAAAAAATATAAATATATACATAAACATACAAATATATTAAATAAATTAAGGAAGTTATGAAACTTTTGAAGTATGACTGTAAACAACAAGAATGAAAGTAAATATTGAATGTTCAACTGGAATCTGTGAAGAAAAGAATTTCTGTAAGTTTATAGTTTTAAAATATTCTTTGGTTAAAAAATGTCTCAACATACTTTTAATTCTGAGAGTAAAATTTAAAAATATATTCATACATGTACCTTTATAATATTTCCTAAAATCAATGAGATTACAAATCTCCGGCATGCCTTGTCGATTCTTGGTTGTTTATTTAACATGAAAACAGATTACTCAAAACAGGTTGTACATTTTTGCCAGGATAAAGCTTGTACAGTATTTTTAATTCAAAATCACAAGACCTGGCACTGATCTGTTTTTTACCTTCGACTTTCGATTATAGTTACAGAATGTATAGATTAGGTTTCAGTCTCCAGGTTTATACACTACAGTAGCTGTACTGGTTCATCTTAATCAATAAATAATATGCATTTCATTAATCAGGAATATGTATTTTGTATTCTAATATTAATTATAAGTATCCCCCACGTGTACAGTTTTAAAACCTTACATCATTATATATAAGTACATGAAGATTGTTTACATATATCCAGTTTTTTTAACAGGTACGTTGTAATATGAGACACTAAAGCTTTGTAAATTATGTACATGTCTCATTGAAGCGGTGATACCATTGATGCACGTGCTACTGAACTAGTGTACAAACCAGGTGAAAACTGAGCAGCTAGTTCATATTGTATGCTGCATTATTTCACTTTCTGCTTATATATCGTGTAACAAGATGTTTATTTCCATTAAAGAAAAAACAACAAAGTGTGACTAGATAACTACATTCTTCTAAACTTAATATTACATAGTTTATAATACAAACATTTGTACTAATTTTAATTATAAACTTTGTTGTTTTTATTACACTAAGATATAAATTAGGATAGTCTCATATATTAGCTTATCTTTTTTAATTTGTAATTGTTTCAAAATAATAAACTGCTGGATGACAGTGACTTGATGAAGTATAGTAAATATGTTATTACTATTTTATTATATTGCTACAAAATTCTCAGGTGCTTTGAATAATTTTAAATAGTTTAAAGGCACACTTAAAATAAATGAGACATTGGTACTAATAAATTAATGGAATAAAATAATAGCAAGTAATAGTATACATGTTTTAAAATATATTTTGTAAATAGTATACTTAAGTACTATATATGTATTATAATAGCGGTATAATATGATGATGAATAGACCACAAAATTTATTTTTCTTATAACTGCAGTATGTATTAATGCACAAAGACTTATTATACTAAATTAATCGCGAATGTCAAAAATATTTGATCTTCTCTTTTTGGTTCATTAGTACTGTCTTATGCTTGTATAATTATTAACAAAATAATAACGATATAATATTTTATTGAAATCTTAATACATTTATCAAAAATTAAGAATATTTTATAGCTTTACAAGATTATTATACATTTTTTTGTCATTAATTAAAGACAAAAGAACATAAAATATGTCATAAAGTATTGATACATAAACGACATTAAAAGATTTCTGTATTTGTGTGATCTATATAGTATAGTTCTTGTAGTGTTTTTATATAATGTATCAAACATATCATATTTCTAGTAGTATATGCATTTGAATTTTTGCAATAAAATTATTATCAGAAAGTTGTGCAAAGATGGAAGATATACAACAAAGCACTTTAAGAAATATTGTAGTAAGTATTATATACTGTATTTTTCATCCGCCTTTTAATCCATTTTTATAATTAATAATTTTCAGGGTTGCATCATGTACTTCTTCCTGAAGAAGCTTCTAAATCTTGTACATTTTCAGAAGAAATTCCTATAACTCGATCTCAAGCTCTTAAGAATAAATTTTCTAAAATACAAGTTTATAATTCTTGTTTACTTCAAAATTATAAAATCGAATATATATTTTTAAAGTAATCGCTATTTTGGTGATTACCAAAAACCAATTGAAAATTATTTGATGGAAATGTACTTTTGAATTTTTTTATGCAATTGTTTACTTTATTTCTTATTTATAGCGAGAATATATAATCGTTACCTTTTTATGTACAGGCCATCGTGTAAGTATGATCTACAAATAATTATTAAGAATTAGAATTATTTCATTATTTTATAATACAATATCGATAATATCTTTAATTCAGATTTACTGTAAATATATATATTTTTTCAGAGAATTATAACAAATAAACCTGCTTTAGATGAGTATCCTGATCTTGAACGGCTATGCAAACTAAAAGATACATGTGTTACTTTAATTATGTGTAAATGTTATTTCTATATAATAGTGCAAAAAAAAAAATAAAAGAATAATATTCATTGTTATTATAAATATAATTAGCAAGAAAATTTGTGTAATTATATAAGGATAAGATTATTTAATGTAATAACTATGATATGTAGTACATGCTCAAATGAGCATGCCATGCAAGCAATAACAATTTTACTGATGAAATGAAAGGAACAGTCCCTTTAAATAAATCACCCGGTTATTCTAAATTATCAATTCTTCCATTTGAAGGTATTTTAAATGATAAAGAGATTTTTGATTTAGATTTGATAAAACTATTTTTAATAACTATTGTGATAATTATATATTGTCATTTCAAAAAGTAGAAAAACCTAAGAGATAAATATGAATAAATAGTACATATAGCTGAAATTATAGTAGAAGCAATCTAATGTGGAAAAGATAGATATGTTTTTCCAAAATTTTTGCAAAAATTATAAAATATCAAAAGGGTAAAAATTGAAAATTAATTGAATTAAAATTTAAATATTTCATTTAGAAATTAATTGTATAAAAGCTTATTCCATTAATACTTAATGATAGTGCAACAAAAAAAAAGTGAATATATGAATATTTGGAATTAATGTCCACCAGATATACAAATTAGCAATACATGCAAGCAACTGACTTCTATGACACTGTTGAATATATATTTGTATTATTTTTCTTTTCTTATTTGTAGGATTATTTGCTTTAGTATATTATTACTTATTAAAAAAATGAATGTTTCTTATAAATTTTTAGACCATCATTCTCTTATAAAATTTTTAACATGTGTATGAGTGATCCTACTAAAATATTTATATTATAGTATGTAATATATATTTGTAATATATACTATAATAAAAATATATAAATAAAAAATATATAATTAAATATATAATAAAAATATATTATGTAATACATATATATTACAAATTATAAAAGTTAAATATTCACAGTAATTATTTCTTTTACCGATTAAATAATTTATAAAATGAATTTCCACATTTTATGAATTCTGTACAAAGAAAAGGCTTTATTATAGCATTTGATACGAAATATAAAAATATAAAAAATCAAGTAATATTTAAATTACTCTACAAAGACGTTATATAAATATTTAAAAAAATTTTTTTATTATCTCTGAATACAATTTTTATATGCTAAAAAATTAATTCGTATTCATTTATTTCAATTCATATAATAATTAATACATGTACAAATAGCAAACTGTGGTATCAAGTTGATTAGACTAAAATCCTGTCTTTTATATGATAATTATCATGCTGAAATATTTTTAGAAAATCTTCATGATGTGTTACAAGAATTTTATGAAGAATAATATACATATATCTTTTTTTTTATACCTATGATTACTTATAAATTATATTCATTCATTGTTAAAAATAAATTGTTTCTTTCAAATCATGCTTTGTTATTTCTAATATACTTTATTATTTCTAATTTATTTATTTTGACATAATTTTATTTTATATAAACATTTTATTGTACTTTCATACTACTAACTTCTTGAAAAAATTATTTATTTGTTTATTTTTTACATTTATAGGATATTATTCAAACATTTAAAAAAATCTCTGTATGATATCAATTATCTCTTGTCTCAGGTTCCTCATCATATGCAGCCATAACTTTTTCCATAATTTCCCAAAGTTTATCTCTTGTTAAATCTTTACAAAATACCTGTAATATTAAATTATTGTTGTTTATTATTGTAAAATTATTACTAGTAACTTGAAAGAGAATTTTTTTTAAAACACTTACATTAAACCATGGTTGTTGATCACATTCATCCATTAATGGAACAACTACACCATAAATTTGTAAAGCAAGATTGATACATGCTATTGCTATTAAATGTGGTGGATAATCAAGTATAGCAGGAGAATGATGAAAATCTTGTAATAGTGCCATACTAGTTTTGGCTACTGGATATTTTGACCATTCTTCTTCTCCAAACCAAGCTTGCAAAGATCTCAAATAGTGCAACATGTACTTTGAAGAATAAAAATATAAAATGAAATAATTGTAAAAGAATGATATGATTTATTGTTATTTTTCAAACTTACCATATAATTTAAATTAAAATTTTAAGAAATATTAATTCATAAATACTTAATAAAAGAAAAAGTAATATGATTAGTTAAAAGTACTAACTTTGTGTGGATGCACTGGGCTTACTTGAAACTTCAACATACGCATGATGAGAAGTTCAGCTTGTACAATAGCATCTCTCATACTCCAATATTGCTCTCCTAATTCCAGTGGTTGCGAACCTCTATGAAGTGTGCTATATGATACATTCATCACATCTCTTATTTTTAAGTTATCATCCTTAGCTTTTCCTGCCAGATATAAACAAGTAGCTGCTATTAACTAAAAAAAATATAATTTTATTAACAAATAAGTACAATCATTATATATATAATCATGATATTATTATATATTTTCTGTTTATTTCTTACGTCTATATCCTAATTAATTAATTAAATAACTTACATAATTATCATATCCTTGAGCAGTAGCTTCTTTCATAAATCTATGATATAAAGTTGCTGCTGTGGCAATTGTTAGAAAATGTGCCTCTAATTTTAAACCTATAAACAGATTTCCTTTAGAATATTTTTAATAATATAATATACTAAACTTATAATATATAAACTTACCACATTCGAAGATAAATCTTGATACTGTGAAACTGTCATTGGCTTTAGTATAATCGATTGTAATACTTTTCTGTAATGTATTCCTTTTCTCTCGTTGCATTGCTAATACATCTATTACATCTTTCATCTTTGAACTGCACATTTAATATACACATTAAAAATAAGTATTCACAATAAATAATTCTCCAAGAAATTTATTGAGTAAAATATCAAATTTTGTAGAATTTATATTAGGTTTTTTATTTATTGACGAAAAATACATCAACATAAAAGTTAATATGGATAATGGATAATTTAACTATGACTCGACTGGTGAATACCGAATCGTTTCTAACCCATAATATTAGTTTTGTTATATATATTCTGCAGAAAGGTTTGCTGTCTCCTAACCTGTTTTAAATTGCTTTATATGAAATAGTAATCAGTATTACTATATCGAATGAGTATAGTAACAGCCGAACAAGTGACTTAACATCGATATTTGCGCGTTGATAAAGTTTGTAGATTACTTTACTACAAACATAAAAAATAAATACATACCTTAAAGTTTCGGTACTCGTTGGTTCCGTAGGATTCATTTTAGTAGAACAATAATTATTCGTAGGATAAAATGACTAAATTAATTATAGATTATATTTAATGTGTTTATCTTCTTAATAGAAAATAATCATAACATAATCATAACTACTCCGTTATAAAACTTTCATTAATAATATAATTAGACAAGAAAGGCTTGCATTGATTAAATTTGGTTACTAGTTTTGATTACTAGCACTAGTAATATAAAATCATAGTTTGAACATATCATTGATTGGACAATTTCTGCGCATGATTACAATAACCAATCATTTTTTGCCTCTTCAAAATAAAATTATCTAAATCGATATTAATTACATAATTTGTAGTCAACGTAAAAAAAAATAATATCAAAAGTATTTCTAAAAAAGGATGTTAAAGATATATGGTTTAATTTTTCTTTATTAAATACGATAGCTCTATGAAAAAATTAATAATATAGTACCTTTAATAACAAAGAAAGACATAAAAAAAATGTTTTTTTGCAAATTTGTATTCAAGTATAGAAAGATATCTCAATAAACCTCGAATTAAATTAAACTACAAAAGATAAAAGAATATCTTAACAACTTTGAAATTACTGTAAGTTCATTATATTAATCTTGATTTGTACTATGTTAGATCACCTCATTATATATATTATAAAGTATAAAACAAAGATAATTTTAAATGGCATGTATAAAATCAATTAAAAAGTATATATTATATTAATTTCTTAAAAATTAGTTTTTTTAATCATTTATATCAAAGATGTATAAGCTCTAAGATTTGGGTCTGATAAAGAATTTATAACAGAAGTAGCTCTTCATAAACATATAATATATCTTTCTTGTTCCGAGCTAAAAGAACACAGATAATGAAATAATATTTACCTAGTTAAAGACGACTCAATGTGGTCTGTACTATCACTATTAAAAAATTGTATTGTTTCATATATATTATTTTTACTCAGCGTTCCATTAAAAATTAATATATCATCCACCAATATCTGATGAAGATAAATAAATTTATCATTATATTTTTGACAAAAATATTTTATAACATGATACTTTGTGTTTTGTACAAATTTGATTCAGCTATAATCTTTCTTATAGCTTAATGTTTACTTACTGCAAATTCTTTTATTCTTCTTGACTTAGTTTTTCCATAATTCCATAATTTTATGGCACTTACAGTCGTAGGATAAGAAAATACAATATAAATACGATTTGTCTAGATGATGAGTCAAGATATAATAAGATTAATATAATTATCAACAATTTTGTGTTATTAATGTCTTATCTAACAATTTTTAGATTTAGATATAAATAATATATAATAAATATTACTTACTTCACCAGGCAAAATTGGTGCAAGCCATGAATGTTGACCATCATCATTATCATTCACACCATCTATTAATTTATCTGGTGTTCTTATATCATTATCAATTCCTTCTAGTATATTTATACTTTCTGGATAAGCTGCTATATCTGAGGAATATATATCAACATTGTCCAATAAAACAATGAAAAATATGTTTTATATATATATATATATATGTATATACTCACTATCACTGTTTAATTTGATTTGATGACCATTGATACCAACAAATTCAATGCCATTGAGACCCACATAATAAGAATCACCCCAACTTGAAAATATTATTATTTGATACACAAAACCCTGTGGCATTAAGGGTACTTCATAATCTTTATTAAATAGAATAATTTCTGTAATATACCAATTAATAAAATAATTACTTTAATAGATACTATATATAAAATTACTTAGTTATGTAAAATTTTATGGTATTACTTTCTTGGGACAAAGTTAAAGTTGCATTAAATTCTTTTGATAATATTGATTCATGGTGCAAATGACAAATAAAACTTATTTCTTGTACAAAATTATAATGACAATTTCCTGGAGCTCTTCTCAATAAGAAGCTATCACAGTCTTCTTCAAATATTGATTTTCCATCCAATTTAATAAATAAACGTTTCACCTACATTTAATAATTGTTATATATCAAATGCTTGTAGTCATTAACTGTGTTGTTTTATTTCATTATATGAAAAAGCTTACACCACAATATGACAACTCCAGAGAAGCATTATAATTCCAGAATCTCATACCAGTAATATATACTTCTTTGTCGAACGTAATTGTTATAATAATTTCTTCATTTTCATTTATATAATCTATTAACAACATATGATCTGTATCAGTTGTTATATTGTATCCATCAATCAATTTTAAAAGATTTATATTATCTAAGTTGCATTTTAAGTTAGCATGAGTTGTTGACAAAATTAAATTTTGGTTTCCAATGAATTCTATTCCATTAAGACCTATATATAATTATATAATGTTAATATGATTATTACCTATTAATTACAATATGAATTATTTACCTACTATTCCAGCAGCACCCCAATTTGAAAGAATAATCAATTGAATTTCTTTACAAACAAGGGATAATGTATTATATTCACTACCACTAGATACAGTTGAATGATTTCCAACTGAACAATCATTTTTACGCCTTCCAAATGTTATCTACAATAAAATAGACTGCACAACATATTCATAATTCACATATAATAATCCAATATTATTTACATTTAAATTAGTCGTTACTGTTACTGGTCTATCTGTCTCCTTTTCTGCATAATTAAGCATATTGTTATTAATGATTGTAAACATTTCATCATTTGTTGATATCATTTCTAAAATATTTTCATCAGTGGTAAACAGAATAGTCTGTAAATACAGATATTTTATAAAAATAATTTCTAACATATCAATAGATGTATGTATATTGAAATATGTTACATCTCCGAAAGAATTAAAAGTGTCTTGTAAGTTTCCAGATGCTCTAGCAATTTCTCCATAAAAAATAAGTGTATCATCCAATGTAAGTGTGATATCCTTAACACCTCTATATGAGTGTATTCTAGATTTATTATAATTCTAAAAATAAAAAAACAGTAATGAAAAATTCATAAAATTAATTATACTATTTAATAAAACTTACCCATATTCTAATCATAGCAATTGTTACAATATCCTGAAAAATCATGTGAATGTAATGATGATTTCCTTCTGTAAATGGGATAAGCGATAAATTAGCATCATCTCTTGTTCTATTTACTCCATTAATAAGATTATTAATAACACGAAGATTATTATGTTCTGGTAATTGATTTATATTTGATGAGTTTTCTAATATCTATAAAAAATTATGTATACGTGGTATTAAATATAAATAATGTCATATGTAGTAGATATATATATTTTATCAAATCTTTGCATTAATAACAAATTGTTTACCTTATTTATGAATACAAGTTGACCTGTATCTGAAAAAATCTCAATTCCGTTAAGACCTACATAATATTTATCTCCCCAGGTACTAAGAATATCAATGATTAATATTTTACCACAAGGAAGTTCCGGTATAATAAAATTTCTGCAACTATCTATGACAGAACAACATAATACCATATTTTAGTCCACATTACTTATATTTAATATCAATTTATACACTGACCTGATCTATAATCTTGACAATAAACAAGTTAAAAGATCACTAAGAATTTCATGAAGTTCAAACTGTGAGTTATATACCATGATAAAAAATATAAAAATTAAACTATAGAACTTTTTCATATCTGAGTTTATTGAAGATGTCAATAGTGCACACTATTACATATAAATTAATTTTTTTGCAATTACCTTGAATTGTATGATTCTGTTGAATATTAGATTTATAATTATGCAAACTTTTATTTGTAGATTTTTCTTTTGAACTATTACTACTCTTCTGGCCAATTTCTACTGAAGAAATAAATTTATTATGATTTTTTCTTGTTAGTTCGCTATTGTTTGCATCAGCATGATATATTGAATTTGGTACTATTTTTATTCCATTTGTAACAGTTTCTTCTTTTGGTATTAAACCAGGTAAATAATCTAATCTTCTCTTTATGATTCCTATTATAATTAAAAAGAAATTAATTATTTCATGATTTCTAAATAATTACAAGTAATAATTTTACACGGACATACTATCAAAATATTAAATTTTAATATTTAAAATACTACATGAATATATCACATGGCAAATTATTTTTAAGATTTTGTTTTCTAATGACATTATTTTTATGTTTAGAATAAGTTTCACATTTTTGTTGTTGTGTTAACAGTTCATTGTCTATTTTATATCCTTTATTTAATATACCTGACTGAAAATAGTCATGATTTCGCTTCTCAAAATCATCAAAAGTTCGTAGTTCACAGTTATATTTCTCATTGTTTTTAAATCTCATAGATTTTGTATTGTTATAGACTTTCTCTATTCTTTTTTTCTCCATATATTCATCAAGTGCACTAAAATCTCTTTTAATAGGATTTTGATTATTAATAGGATTTTGTTCAGCAGAAAGAACATGAGTTGAAGTATTCTTGATATTTATCTTCGCTTGATTGGAAGTATTAGGGAGAGATTTACTAGTGCATGATTGTAATAAAATGTCACCATCAATATCTTTTATCTTGTTTAATGTAAAAAATGGTTTGCAAGACTGCCCATATCTTGATTGTTTATTAAAAGATTAAAAAATTATTTTTATACATAATAAAAAATGTTATACTAAGTTTAAATAGAACTTACAAATTATCAATTTCTTCCTTTAAAGAAGATATTTCATCTTCTAAAAGAGTTTGTTCAAATGGATGTTCTTCGTGAATTGAATGTTTTTCTATTTGCAATGTTTTATAATGATCAATTATATTTAATCTTTTTACATTCCTATTAAATTAAATAGTTTCAATAAAATATTTATGTAAATTATGTTAAAAATGTATGCTTTGTTTTATAACATTGAATAAAATATAAACTATCAAATACATACTCATTCATTTCTATCAACCATGACGGTAGCTGTTTTAATATATTAGTAGATAAAAGTGTATTGTTTTTTGTAATATTACTTCCACTTTGATACATTTTCTACAAAATTTATCACCTTGTATTAAAATAAATCATTTATTTGAAAATTGATATTAAAATTTCATTTGATTCAGTTCATAATTTTTCACTGTATTTTTAATTCCATGAAATAGATCATATATATTATTTTATATACGTAATACCAAAAAAGCAAAATAAACAACGTTATAAATGTTATATATCATAATAAACAGTAATATAGATAATTGTATATATAATTTGTATCATTCTACATTGTATTGTATGTATCATATTAGTTTTGATTATGAATGGAATAATATATATATTTGCTAGTTGTATAAAAAAAATTCTCATATGTCATAGCCTTTATCATCAATTTGTTTGATATTGTTACTATAGTTACTGTGAAGAATCATTGACCTCAAACGATAGATGGCTCTTACATTAGATTTATAGATATGTATTTGTAAATATAGTTTTGTTTATTATTATTTTTGTAAAGAAATAAATACTAGTTTATTCAATTTTATATACCATAATAAAACACATTATTTGTATTTTACTATATTTTTATTTCACATAATTACCGTTTTATCAATATAAAATCATATTAATAACAACAATATTATACATTTTACATATTCGTACTTACATATTTGGTTAACTGCAAATTACATGCAGTTAAAGTATGTAATAAATGATTTAATATTCAATTAGTAATTGTTTTGTACTCTTCTTCTTTTAATAATATAATATTATCACCACATGTTTAGACATTGTTTTTTTCATTATTTTACAATGTTAATATACCTAGTATGTACATAAATATGTATAAATCATATTTTGTTAATTATATAAATAAAATTTGTATTAAAATATGGTAATTATGATAACATACAATTAATTTATATGATAAAGAATTTATATAATAAACAAAATTTTAATAGGCTATATATAATCTTGTATTCGTTTACAGTAATGCTCTATAGCATTATAAAGTTATTTACTGAACAAATTTAGTATTAAGAAAATGACAAGATTAATTTTGGCACATTAGATAGTGAAAAAGGAATTATACTTAAGAAAAATTATATTGTTACTAATAATTATTACTATTTATCAGCAATTATATAAATTTGCATATTGTTTATTCTATTTTTAAAATAATGTATTGAAAAACATATCTCTAACTCTTTATGTTATATAAACTTGATATTATTATAAAAAAATTTTTTTCTATATAATTATATATATTAAATAATATTAACCATAAATATATGAAAATCACAATCACCATTATGTATATTTTATATTAGATAAAACAATGTCAGCAAATAAATTAGGAATACATTCTCAATATTTTGTAAATTATAAATTATATAAACCATACTTATTTTTCATCATTCATATTTCCAATACTCTGTTACTACAACTTTATTCTAATCTTATATTTACATTCTGCATATTTTTGGCTGTAGTAATTTATAATAAAAATCCTTTATAGTGATAGAAAGATCGAAATTCTAAATAGTCTACTTATTCACAACAAATTTTTCTATAAAAACTTTGTTTGTATGGAAGATTGGAACCAAATACAGTCTTTACTGAGTTTTCATTGAAAATCTTAATTTCTTTTTTGCAAAACTATAAATATATGGCAAAAATATTATATGTAAATCTAAATTTCTAAATGAGATTGTACTATATGGGGTAATGATGGCACACTTGGTAGATCAATTGTGACTGTTGAACTTATTGCAGGAAATACATGATTTAAAATTGCATAATAATGAAATCCAGCAGCAGCAGCTACAAAAAGATGCCAAATTGCATGTGCACAAGGTATTCTACCATCTGATTTAAAAAATATTAAGCCCAGAATATAAATAAATCCTCCTGTTTTTAATTCAGCAATGTTGTAATAATCATTCTGCAAAAATTAAACAATTTTATAATTAAATGAAAATAGTAAAATAAAGACATATATTAATTCACCAGCATTTCATTATTTCATATCATGCATTGTAAAAAACTTCGATACATGTAATATTATTATATTTCAATTCTAACTTACAACATTAATAATTGCTACACTTGGACCAATACCTATGACCAAATACATAATAGTTTCAAGCATTTTATAGCGCTCATGAAAAATTTGTTGATAAAGAATTCCCAACATTGCCATGATCCAAACGGCATATCTCATTGTAAAAAGTAGTTTATCACCTGGGAAATGATCTACATTTAACCATGGAAAGTAACTAGCAGCTATAAAGATATAAATCATAGCACGGTCACAGCGATGTAATGCGTCTTTTAATTGTCTGAAATATAAACCATAATAAGATATAATTATATGATAGTTCTCTATAATTGAGAAAAGATACTACATAAAAATAATTCATTACTACCTGTTATGATTACAGTAATGGACACTGTGGAAAAATGTGGATACCACAAAAACAAGAATCAATGAAGTACCATAAACGCACGCAGAAACAAACTGAGTCCATGTTATAGAACGTCGAAAAAGCTCTAAACTGCCAATTATAGAAGGGACAATCCAAATTCCATGGGTAGCCACATTAGCCACATGTTCTATGGAAGTAGGATTATATGCCTGATTTGTACATGCTCGTGAATTCATCCATTTTATCCTATAATAAATCAAATTTCATTTTTATGCGTTATATAGTTACATAACTAAAACTATGGCTTGGAGATTATTGTATAATGAAATAGATCGATGTTCTTACATAAGACAAAAGAAGATCATTGAATGTTACATCATAAGACTTTTAGAATTACTTAAAGAGTATAGCAAAGTTACTTGTTCAAATCACATTTTAATATTCCTATTAACAAAATAATTATAGCATAACTTGAAAGATCATACAACCACATGGTGTGTGTGCGTGTCATATGTGTTTATTTCCAAAATATTAAGGAAGTTTATTATAAACATTCATATTCTGTGGTCATATACCTTTCATAAAAAAATATAGTACATACTTATTATCTATGTCTTAAAGGAAAATATCTCCATACTCTCCAACATGCTGATGAACCTTTATTGTTGTATGCTCAAATATCTTAGATTTTTGTTTCTGCAGTATTGATGTTTTATCTATCTATAAGCAATGTATTTGCACTCCATTCAGTTACTTCAAATTACCCTATACATGCATATGTTAATATTACTAAATAAAAAATAGAGAAAAATAAGCAAATAAGAATAAGAAAAATAAAGAATATTTATTTATAAAGTAGAAATAATGCATTGTGAAGTACTTACGTTAGTAGTTTGGGTAATTATTAAGTTAATTATTAGTAAAAGATAGCTTATTTGAAATTATATTCTCATATGATACATAACATGCTATATTTAAAAGCTAATATAAAATAATGTATGAGATTATCTTATTTACAGTACTATATAGATATAATATAATATATTCAATGATTCAGTTTAACTATTACTTTTCTCATAGTTATCGAAATATATTAAAGAAAAATATTATTCATTTATTACTGATAGCAATCAATGGTGATTTCTTAAAATACATACAAATTTAATTCGATAATATTAGATAAAGTTTTTATGCATTATAAAAGGATCAATACCAATTAGTAATACATAAAATTATAAACCAATTAGTAATACATAAAAAAGGAATAATCAAAAATATTTACCATTTATTACTTATTATTGTTTGTTTATTTATAAATATCTATATTGTACATTTTCTATATAGTAATACAATTTTTCTAATATAAAATACAATATTTTATAAATACAGATATAAATTTCTATTTATGAATGTAACTATTTTAATTTTTGAACAGAATACCACTTGCTAAAGAATCTTTAATTTATTAATGAAAATACCACCAACGCTAAAGAAAATAAAATAAAAAACGATAGAGACAAACAGAAATAAAAGAAAGAGCAGAAAAAAGAAATAGAAAAAGAGAAAGAGAGAAAGCAAAATAATTACAATACACAATCAAGAATTCTAAAAAATTAAACCCCTATTTAATAATCTACTTCTTACTCTTTTATACGATGTAATCGAAGAAGATTTTTTATAGGTTCTGCGACAAGCTGATGGAGGTAGGATTCATCCATGATGTTGCACTTTATTCGACACGTTTAACTCGTTTAAATATGGGTACAAAGAGTATCAATAAAGTTACTGCTACTAAATATATATCTCCTGTTTCATATTGCCTTTTGTCTTATATTATTTATTTAATTTATTTTAAAAATGATATATTGATTTATAAGTTAAACCTACTAACAAAAATAAGCAGCAGCGCGCTTAGCTATCGCCGAGCTACTAACGTAATCAATTGCTGTCCAGCTGTTATACTGTTTGGCGAAAGAATGAAACAGAGAAGGATAGTGAAAAAAAGTAAATGTGTGTTAGAAAAATGTACTAGGTAGATATGTATTCCTTTTCGCGACAATCTCAGGTTAACACAACCGCAAAGAACTGAAGCCTGATACCTATAAGAAGTATATAAATAATAACTTAATGATCTTTTCGTTTCATAATCGTATATCTATAAAAATCACTTGTAAAAATGGACATTTGACAAGTTAATATATATGTATATATATATATATATATATATATATATATATATATGTATATGTATATCATTAGTCGATTTGCGTATTTGTTAGTATTTTTTTTTGAATGGCTTTTTTTCAATCATACATAACATTTAAAAAAGTCATCAGTACGTATATGTATTATGAACTTATAAATATACAATTTTTTAAGCATTATTTACATGATCATGAAGATCTATCCTGTCAATGACTATAAAAAAAATTTGAATAACTTTAAATGAGCATTTTACGCGCGAAATATGAACAAAGATTTGAAAAATATGTGAGAGCATAAATGTTCAATATATATAAGCAGTTACACAATTGTTCGAGTGAAAGTCACTCAAAATTTGTATAATGAACAGATTAATGAGTTAATCTGTTCATAAAAAAGTATAATGTAAAATAACAACACAAATGTATAAAAATTGTTATATATTAAGAATAATGCTTCAATATCATTCGTATGTATCGTACTACTTTTTAACAATTCATTCTACTTCGATAAAGTTATCAGCTTAGACATGACCAATTGACGTTTACAATATAATTAATCCTACTCGATCACGTGCTCTATTCTGAATGAGGATTTCCTCACGAGATGCGAACATACAGTGTATAAATTTTATGAATAGAAGTACATAAGAGAAGACTAAAGATATTTATTATTTGATTAATGGTTACAAAGAATGGTTATAACGAATGAAAGGATCTGGTTTTTTATGTAATGCTATTAATTGAATGACCTTGACAAAATATATGAGTATTATTACATGCAATGAAAACATAATCATAGCACATTTCAAATATGCTTCATTTATGCACATTTATAATCATATAAAAATGTGTTAATAATATTTGAGAATATGTAATAATGTATATTCTACGTTTTAAATTTAATATTATGCAATACATTATGTTTAAGAATAAGTTTATAAGAAGAAGTTTATAAACGTTTAAAATTTATAAAGTAATTAAACAAAATAATATCTCGATCACTATTATCGATTAAATTGAAATCACACAGGATATAGTGGCGTATCTTCACTAACGAGTGTAGTTCACATTAAGGTTGTTCACCATCTCTGGTTTTATAATGGTATACGTCACATAGAATATAGGCGTAATTCTTGATCAATTTTGATAAACAAAATCTTATTTTAAATATGAAATTTTAGATTAGTAGTCGTTTCAAATTTTAAATCTTTTTTATGCATATATCATTTTCGAAAAAAGGTTTCTTTGGTATAATTTTTTTTACAAAAATGAAGCTTTCTACAAAATTCGAAAAAAATCAATTCTTCATTTAAACCTTTATTTTTAAAATGAGAGTTTATTCATTAAAGTCGTTCAAGAATTATGTTTCATTTATTCAAGAATTATTGATGATCTAAACGTTGTTTTCAAAATTTTTAATGAAAAATAAGTTGTATATAGTGGCGCCCCTTGAAATCTGCGGTGAAAGAAACGAAGTTTCTATTCCCATTACTGATTTTATTCCTATACTGATATAAACACTTAAGTGGTTGTGTTTTATTTCCGTAAACTAGCCGATTGCCACCATACGTTATTTGTGTATGTAAATTAAACTTGGATTTTTTAATCCATTCTAAATACAAGGAAATGATTTGTAATACTCATACAAAGAAATAATGGCGACTCACTCGGTAATTTTGTCGTTTATTTTGCCGAAAATAATAATAAATAATATTCTATCGTTTCTCGTATAGAACTAGTCTAGTTTATATTATTTCTATTACTAATAATAGATAATATAACAATATAATAATAAGAATAATAATAAGTAGAAGAAAAAATATATACTTAAATATTGTGTACATCGAATACATCATAAATTATATATGATGATGATGATTTATAAAAAAAGAAAAAATACATAAAAGCACAAGATACAATATCAATCTATATTTGCTAGTGTCTCAAAAACCTATCTCCCCTTTTGGGTGCATTCCATGGCTCACTTCGCATAATGGTTTTTTACGCAGCTCTCAACAAATCGTATTCTCGATAATTTGGAGATATGCATAACCACTGATAAGTATATCTAATACTAATGAAGTATGATACAAATGCGAAGCACTTTTATTTTCGTCTGTATCGTTTCTTCTTGTCCTGCTTTATAATCATATCACCAGTTCATAATACTTGCGTTTATTTTTATTCTATTTTTATTTATATTGATTTTATTTTGGTTCTTGTTGATTTTATGAAACTATTAATTTGTATGAAATTCTGTTATAAAATCGATATGAAAAAAGTGAGTACTCAGTAGTCATCTATATTGACATCACTGTTTTTGAAACAGATAAATGTAACAAAAGTTTTCCAAACGATTCTAAAATCCGCAGTCGGATTTACTTTATTTCGGAAACTTGTAAAAACTTAAAGACCAGTAAAAGGATCTTAGCAAATACTTGTTTAAGTTTAAATACGTATTAGACTTTCTTAAAATAAAGGAATGTTAAATAAAATATTTTACATTTTTCAGTCATACACAAAAATAGTTAAATAAGATATCGTTATAACCATCGATTCTAAGTTTCCAAATGCCACCATTCACCTTATTATTATAATGTAGAATGTACGTAATATTTAAATATGTTTTTATTATTATATTTTATATTAAATTATTATATTATATATAATTATGATAGCAGTAATAGTAGTAACAATACAAATTGGACTAATCCTAAGGAGAAATCACAAAAATAATAGCGCTGAGAATCCAATCTCATAGATATAAAACGATCTCATGTTTTGATTTTTATTAAAATAATATATAATATATAAATAGATTTATTAATTATTATTTTTGCCAAAATAATTAACAAAATCTTGTTTTTGTCGCAAATTTATATATTAGTTATTATATGTATTAATTTATTTTATATGCATTTTTGTCGCAAAATAAATGTGATCAGCGCTGCACTTACTACGGTCTATGTAGTACAGATTATTGCAAGATGCATACTATTGTTAAAAAAAGATGTAAATATGAGACTGAAAAATGCTTGTTTAACTTACTGAACTAATACTCTAACCTATAACTTAATGAATTAATACTCTAACGAAAGGAGTATACACATAAGCTTATATACCGATATGATAGATGTGATGGAACACTGTTTCCCTGTTGCATTTGTAGTTTATATTTTGTCCATACCATTATCTATACCGTTGGTGAAACGCTTTAAGCGAAAAGTAGTAGCAGTTTTAATGCAAGCGACATTAGACCTTGAAAATAGTTAATAGTATTTGGAAGAAATATATTAAAACATATATTTTATCAATCGATACAATTTTCAACAATTAAATATATACAAATTAAATCTGTATTACAAATTGATTTATGCTAATTTAAAAATTTTTAAGATTATAATGTGATCTATCTTAAAAAAATCTTTATTCTGGTATAGAATTAAATAAAGACATCCTAAAGAATAAATATATTCTAAAGAATTTGGATTACTTGAAATACTCGATATTCATTCGTCGCTGGTATTAAAGTTTACTAGGATTTGTTGAGAATACGATCCAAAAATTCTCTACCAATAGACGAATTCTTTACCAATTAATGATAAAAATAAGCCCACTTCGTAAGAATAGATCAGTATATGATAGAATATGATCAACATATACTTATATTCAAATGTATTTATTATATATATAAAATACATACACATAGTATCTCTTTATAGAATCATGTGTCGAGGTATGTACTATTAAAAAATTTAGCTATACTTGAAATATATTATAATTTATAAAAACTTATTTTGCTAAAAATGGATATCATAATCATAAGGTGAAGGTAAAATATTATTTATTGTACGAAATTGAATAGCAATAAAAATAACAATTATAGTTGAGAAAATTTGATAATAATTCATAGCCAGGCTATCAACAGCTGATGATGAGTCTCGCTATATGATTACCATATATTGCTATGGTAACACGGAACATACGGAACGTGGAACAGCGATTCGGTTGTTTCTTCATCTCATAGATTCAGCTGCGAGCATCAGCTGTTCAATATGGAATAGCGGGTACAGTCACTTGTAGGAATCGTTCGAAGTCGAACTACTTGGTCGTGGTCCCTATAATATAAACGCGCGTGCATGTGTGTTTGTACAAGAGAAAGAACCAGTGAGTTGAGAGTGAGAGTGAAAGAAGGGGAGAAAGAGGAGAGGAGTGGGAAGGAGAGAAAGCGAGAAGAGAGAGCGAAAGCGTGAGGGAGGCAGAAAAGCGAATCAAGGAGAGTAAGCAGACGAAGAGGAGCATTCGTACGAGCACCATACGTGCGATTTATGCAAAATCTCGCGCGCAACGTGGATGTATTGACGCAAGGATTAAAATACGGCATATCTGGCCTCATGAACCTCACAAATCAGACTGCTGATCCTCCAAGTGGTGTTTTCTTTGTTAATTTTAATCAGGACTGCACGTAAGTTTCTTTACGTTCTTTAGAGACTCAAAGAAATACGATGAAAACGACGATATCCATTCTTTGTTTCCTAACCTTGCTCTCCTTTCTATAAAGGTGAAAGAATATTCAAGTGGAATATAGGCGAGGGAACAGCTATTTCTTTGCATTTATAAAACGTGCGATATGGTTTTTCCCTCCGCCGCGCGCATGGCGTCATCCCTCACGACGATTGAGGTTTTTCGTTTGCGTTTTCCTATACGTCGTTGTTTTTCACGTTGCTTTTGTTAACTGCGTCACTCCATTCCTCCTTTCACTGATTAGCTGCGTGTTAACGAGTCACTTTTGTGCTCTTACTTTACTGCGTTACTATGCGCTACTAGAAAAAAATAAACTCCTTTATGTACTTCATTTTGTTTTAAGACTTGCTCCTCGATCCGTCGTTACAAAACAATCAGTCAAAGATCCAGGTTAATATTTATCTTTTATATTTTAATATTTCTTTATGATGAAACAAACTATTTATAATTTGTAATTTTTTTATAGATTTTGAAAGAGGAAGATTATTTATCCATGCTCTTGCATTTATTTTAATTATATACTATAAATGTATAATCTTAATTTATTTACAGATCTTTAGCAGTAGGATCGAAGGCAGGATATAAACTTTTTTCTCTCAGCTCCTTTGATCAACTTGAGAAAATATATGAAAATGGTAATAGTCTATTATTAAATAATTTCCGTACTGTTATGTGAATCTTAGTTTTATCATTAAATATATTTTTTTTATATTTAGTATAATGTATTAAATTTATTATTTACTGTATTGTATTTATTTTGTAACATATATTGATTTCAGATACAGAGGATATATGTATTGTTGAAAGATTATTCAGCAGCAGCCTTGTTGCAGTTGTTAGTTTATCATCCCCCCGTAAACTTAAAGTTTGTCACTTTAGAAAGGGAACAGAAATTTGCAATTATAGTTATTCTAATACTATTTTGGCTGTAAAACTTAATAGAGCGGTATGTTATAAAATTATAGTAACAACAAATTATATACATATATATATGTAAAAAAATATTCGTCCTTATATATATATGTATATTAAATATATCTATAATCTTATAATAACGTATATCTTATAATAACGGTAATAATAATCTTAATAATAATAATAATAATAATAATAATAATAATAATAATAATAATTATAATATTATATATATATATATAAGGATTATATAATGATATAATTATATAAAGATTATAATTTCTTCTGGAATTTGTCATGTTTTTAAAGAATATTCAATAAAATTATTCCTTACAGAGATTGGTAGTATGCTTGGAAGAATCGTTATACATTCATAATATAAGAGACATGAAAGTATTACATACAATACGTGATACACCACCAAATCTTGCAGGACTTTGTACACTTTCAATAAACAGTGACAATTGTTATTTAGCCTACCCAGGCTCAAATACAATTGGAGAAGTTCAGATATTTGATGCTATTAATCTTGTAAGTATCTTTACCTGTGTATTTCAAACTTCTTTTAAAGGTACGTTGTACAAAGCTATAAAATTAACATTTATATTTACAGCAAGCGAAAACAATGATACCCGCACATGATAGTCCCCTTGCTGCTCTTGCATTCAGTCCCAATGGCACCAAAGTTGCTACTGCCTCTGAGAAAGGGACTGTAATCAGAGTCTTTCATGTATGTTTATTGATGATTTTGATATATATGTATTACTATTTTTTATTATATATATAAAGCTGACTTAAAAATGAACTGTTGTGTTTTTGTAGGTAAATGACGGAACAAAATTATTTGAATTTCGTCGTGGAGTTAAAAGATGTGTGTCTATTAGCAGTCTGGCCTTTAGTATGGATTCTATGTTCCTTTGTTGCTCTAGTAATACCGAAACTGTACACATTTTCAAATTGGAAGAACCAAAGGAAGCGTGTGTATTCATTTATAATAAAGTGTTATACATATATGAAATATTTTCTATATAAATATTAATATATATTAATGCATCATTATTTTTTATAGGCCGCGACAAGCTCAAGCAGAGGAATCACAAAGCTGGATGGGCTATTTGACAAAGGCAGTATCTGCATCAGCAAATTATTTGCCTTCTCAAGTAACAGATGTTTTTAATCAAGGACGTGCATTTGCTAGCGTTCATTTACCATTTTATGGTTTAAAAAATATTTGTGCCATTACTGTGTAAGTTAAAATAAATAATACTTCTATATTTTTTTTTTGTTCACATAAACTTTTTTTTAGGACACATAAGGTACCAAAGCTGTTGGTGGCTAGTGCAGATGGTTATTTGTATGTATACAATTTGGATGTAACAGAGGGAGGAAATTGTACACTTTTAAAACAGCATAGGTTTGTAAACGTTCAAGCGAGTTAATATCATAGTGAAACATGTTTATAAAATAAGATTTCAATATTGTAGGTTAGATGGTAAACAAGATGAAGTAGATTGTGCTACTGTTTCTTCAACTGGTTCTGGTTCTGGAGAAGCACAAGCAACAGCTACAGCATCTGTACAAACAGTACAAAATTCAGGTATGATTTTTATACCTTTTGCATTTTTTTATAATAGATGTATAGGTTATTTAAAGTAATAGGAGCGAGTTGACGATAAAGATATATAAATTATAATAAGGCTGATAATTAACTACAGAACTAATATGACAATCATACATAAATATTTTTATATTTGTGATTTTAAGAATATCTTTTGAAGTTTAATAATGATAAATTAAGATAAAAAGTTTTGCATGTATTTGAATATTAACAAAACATTTATTGTTATATTATGTAATTACCTTCTCAATAAGGTATATTACATTTGCGCGCGCATACACACAGACACACACACGATATAATACACACACACAGGTATACTTGGCATCTAAAGCTATTGGCCTGTTTCTTTTTAGTTTGGCAAGTCAATTGTATTACTATAAATATCACAAAATTAGTAGATGTAAACAGCAAAACCTTAATTAGTAAAGCAGTATTCTTATTAAGTTGAACAATACATATATAAGCTTTTATTAAATTTGAAGATTATAAACTTACTACTACTTGACTTTTTGTGGACGGCGCGATGATTCCAAATCTAAACGTTCTGTAAAATAATAGGTAATTGAAAATCTCCGCAAAGGATTGTTAAGTATTATATTTTTCTACATCATTTTTTTAGTTGAACATTTAATTTGTATTTTTATAAGTTTGAAAAATTAGGGCTTTATTAACAAACTTTACTATTTGGTTTTTCTACATTATCTTTATCAATTTTAGAAAATAAAACATCACTTGATATCAATATTTATAATTTACAGTAGTTTTGTATTTTATATTCTTAAAATAAAATTATATACTCTAAAAATTTTAAACAAATAGTCACATTCAAATAAAATACAAATATAACAATGGATAAATTATTCAAAAATCATACAATTAAAAAAAGATATTAGTATCCTTTTTTAATATTGATATTTACTTTATTAAATATGCCAACAACATAATTTATAATAGATATTATACTAAATATAAGTATATAAACATTTATATTTATGGATAGAAATAATTAAATGAAAAGCATATCATTTGATCAATTTATTTTGAAAGTAACTAAATTAAAAGAACAGATCATTCGTGTGTGCGCATAGAGGAGATCTTTTACTTGCTTTATATTTCCTTTTTCTCGCTTCTAGCCCCTCAGAATTAAATTACCAGGCAATTTCTTCAGGGGCTAAAGGGGAGCCCCAACAGTTGACCTTACTTGATGCAATTTTTTTCTTTTTATTATCCACCGAAGCCTGCATAAATAGCTACGCGGGTGCGTTACGTGGTCGTTCGCCAGACTCCATGTCAGGTACTGGTATGTCCTCTATACTGCCCCTTGTTTTTTTTGTTTGCTCATATTCGCTCTATATGTATAAATTCATTCACCTTCATGCAATTCTTTTGTCCATCATCTTATTGTAAATGCATTTATACACACAGTGAAAGAAAACAAGCAATATAACAGTAATGCTCATATATTAGCTGGGTGTTAAGTTATTAATATTGTATATATCAGTGCCAGAATATATATTAAACAAAACACAGTGTTTGGGAAATTATGTAGTTTTTTATAAAAAGCTTTCTATTTTATGAATATGCATGTAAACACTATAATTTACATCTCCAAAAAAACAAAGTACTTTTTGCTAGGTTTTAGTGCAATAATATTATCATAGGTTTTATATCAATATATTGAACATTATATTGCAATTTTTAATAAGATGTAAATTTATTGTGTAAACATACGTGTTTGTAATACAGGGTATATCATCACTGATATAAATAATAATGTAACTGTAAATTTTGGATTGAAAGCTAAACTTTACTTTTTTAATCTTGTCTAATATTGCATAAAGTAGAAACGAGTCTTACAAATATATTAAAAAATGTGGAAATTTCAGTCGTTTATATTGCAATATTATTTAATATATTACAGTCATGATAATGTATTAACTCTTTCCCACCGTGTAGTTGTAGGCATAATATCTCGTTAGTGAGATTATACAGATGTACGCTCCACCAATTATTGCCTGGAAACCTTAATTTCACAGATTGAAAGTCTGAAGTTCATTTTTTGTTAATATTTCATAGATATAATAAGATTAAAAGTGCCTTATCGGGATTGCCATGATATACGATCGTAACGGTAAAAGGGCATACCGGAATTGTCTTGGCATATGACCATAACAAAAAAGAGTCTTGTTGGGATTATCCCGAAATATGACCATAACGGGAAAGGACCTTGTCGAAATTATTCTAGCATAGGAGCGTAATGAAATGGGCCTTGCCGGGATTATCTTGACACAAGATTGTAATGAAAAAAAAAGTTTGTCGGTATTATCCTGGCATATGACAGAAAAGAGTCTTGCCGGGATTATTCCGGACTTCAACAGGAAAGAGTTAATATTTTATTCCCTGCAAAGTTAGTATATATACATCTGAAGATACACACCAAGGGTATTTGTATATAATATTTAGCGCATTAAAATTGATATTGTGTGTAAACAACTATCCTACCACTTCAAAAAATCAATAAAAATACAAAGCACTATTTATATCCCAATTTTTTAAATAATGTAGCAATGATTAATCTTTCAAATGTGATACTTTAATTGATTTTAACAGCATATTCAATCATTTATAAATATATTTTTGGAAAAAAATAATTTCAAGTTAAAATTATATATAATTCTAAATATATTTTTCTGTACAGTTACTATTTTATAAATTAATTGCAAAACAAAACGTACTTAAATAAATCTGAATTATTTTACATTTAGACATTAATAGGAGTCCTTGTAGTAAAGCATTTATTTATTCCTGTGCCTTTTTTATTAATTGTCATGAATTTAAAAAATTATAGATTTTTAATGTCTATATTTTTTAAACCACTAACAATTTCTAGTAAACACATTTCACCAATAGTGTGGTGCGTACAATGATCATTGAGATTATTTAATTGCATCTAGATACAATATTTACTGGATGTTAAAACTAAAGTATTAAACATTTTTATTTCAGAAGTATGGTAATTTTGAGAAAAATTGTTCAGAAGAAAGTTATCTGATTTCAAAGGGAATATATTATGGCATTTAATGTTTTTTATTTAGTTGAAGGTTTCATTTATTTCAAGGTCAACTTTAGAAATAGGAACCTACATTTTTGATAATAGCAACATATTCTATGTAAAGAAACAAGTAGATTTTGTCAAAAATATTTTTGTATCCATCTTCAATTTCGTAATATATTTAACAAAATATCTTGCAGTTTTTGAGGAAAAATGTTTAAATTTCTAATAAGCAATAATTATAATCAATCGTCAATCGTCCGAAAATTTCTTTATTATTTATTTACATTATGTTTACGCTCATACTAACATGCACACACGCATGCCCGCACATTTGTATGAAAAAATAGTAGGAAATAATAAACACGCTAATTAAACACTTTATTTTTCCTACACAATAACATACAGATAGTTCTAAGAATTAAATATATTAGCACTAAATAAACATTTTTTATTTCTTGTACTTTTCCTCAAAACCTGGTAGTTATCAACATTTTTTAATTTCCAAAATTTCTTAAATATATTTCGTTAAATTGAAAGGATAATTCAAAATTTATAAAAAGATATTTAAGACAAAAGTTCCTATTTAAAAAATTAAAGTTGATTTTGAAATGACTTTGAAAACTCATTAAATAAAAAAATGCTGTATTGCCCCCTTGAAATTTGATAATTCTTGTCTGAATTTTTTTCAAAAATGCCATTTTCGAGATAAATATTTGTAATGTTTTATTTTGAACATATGGTATATATATATATTTATATAGATATGTAAATGATAATCGGTTGTTGTATTATATATAAATTCTTTGTGATTATGATTTTTAAAACACTAGTAATATACAAATGGGTTTATTGTATGATATAAAAGTGAAATTATCTACAAGTGTCTAGATGCAATAATACATCATGTACCATTGAATTCAAAATACACATTCAATATTCAAAATACACATCTTTATCGTTACATCCGCTTAATACAGACTAATAAAGAACTGTAATTTATGTAAACATGGGTTTGTAGAATCAGAGAAATATTATGAGATGATAGCAGCAGCCGAAAGTCCACCAAAAAGTAGAGGACCATTCCGACTGGATGATGATACAGAATTTCCTCCTGTTACACAAAGGACAGATTGAAGGTGGTTGGAAAATGTGAAGAGCATATTAAAGTGCAGATTGTTCAGAATTTAAGAACGTGTTTCACACTTCGGCTTCAGTAAGATCAACAATTAAGTGACATTACCAAGAATGTTGCACATTTAATATATAAGGAAATTAACAAAAGTAAATCTTTTTACATAATCATCTATTTGTTTTTAATGTACCAACATAATTCTTTCGGTAATATTACCGTATCATCAAATTAAAAATTTATGCAATATCTTTTCACTATATATTAGAAAGCATGTAAGTAGTTATAGAAAATATAGTAATTCAATTGAGGTTGTTTATTATACTATTTTGAAGAAAATATGTAAGTGCTATCATCAGTATTTGGTAAGAATGTTTTCGTAAATTTACATGAAATAATATTTAGATAATAAACTATTTTTACCAAATATAAACGTTCGTGTTAAAATAAGGTATAAAAATAAGTGCAATTTATTTGCAAATATCAATCAGAAATTAAAACATATTAAATTATCATTAATAATTATTTAATAAGGATCAATTTATAATTCACTTATCTAAGTTGATCTGTTTTTGAGTTAAAATTTATCTTTTTCATAGCTCTCTTGGGAATCGGTAATAAAGTTATGGGAATGCTATTATATTTTACCAAAAACCAATTGCATTGGTCCTTGGTTATATGTTGTTTATATAACATTCTACTGTGTTTATAAGTATATATACTTATATTAAATATAATTCATGTATTTTCTTGGATTGCTGCATTTTTAGTTTTAGTATTATTGTTCGTGTATGATGATTAACGAATGGAGCTTTCTTTTTAATAGAAGAATAAAAAACAAAAAATAATTATATTTGAAAAGTTTCAAAAATATGAGATCCTTAGTAAATTTTTAGGTAATATAAAATTTTTTAAGAAAAATCACAACTTCCAATGAAAGTGTGAAATAATTATAAATGATTACTTCATAAATGTTTGATAAAAAATTTAGAATTTCTATAGCATTTTTTTTAGAATTTCAGACAAATTTATATTTCTATGTACAAGATGGAGTTCTCTCCATATTAAAAAATTGACAGATAGAGTTATACAGTTTATGTGTAAGAAATATTAACCAATTTTAATTTGTCATTTGTCAACAAAAAACAAATTTCGAGAGAATATATGTGATAATTAGTTTTTTTGAAAAGCAGAAATACAGTTTATAATCTTATATCTTGTTTTTGCTATTTGTTGATGTAGCATCGTTCATCTCTTAATTTGGAACAAAGATGTATATTATATTGTAAGTTTTATTTATATAATAATCTTTGTATCATTTAAATTCTTTCATATTTTATTTTTCTTTAAGTATCTATCCCTTACTTTGGGCATTGCAATATGGTGGCTATAGGATAAGTTCTTGATTTATGTATAATTATGTAGAGATGTTAGATGATCTCTAGTTTTTGAAGTTATACTTACAAAAACTACTTTTATATTATGAATAACTTTTCTACTCATAATTGGTGCCAAGATATAATTTCTTTTTAATCGATACTTATATTAGTAAACATACCTCTAATATTATATGTCTGGTTAAATAATATTAGAACAAAGCACCATTGTATGTATTTTGTTATAACACTTTTTTGCGTATAAAGTAATTTGGGAACTATGTAATTTTTAAATTATATTAGTAAGTTTTCTTTTGAATGAAAGGCACTTGGTGCAACAATTATCCATTAAATTGTATTTCAATGATGTGTCTTTTGCTATTTTATACTAACGAGTCTTGTTCAGTGAATAGTTATACTTTTATAAAAAATAAATAAAAATGCTAATATCTGATGTACATATATTCATGTTATAGCTTGAGCATTCAGAATATTATCTCTAATATTTCTTTATATGTAATCTTAATTGATAATTAGACAAATCTTTACCTTTCCTTGTCAAAGTTTTGTTTTATTATCATGCCGATAAATATTTTTTATTAATTAATATAATTGGAAATAGAATATATTTTATTCTTATGAAGTTTATTTATCTCATAATGTTTGTTAATAAAATATTTAATTCTTTCATTTTAAAAATATTATACAATAAAGAAATAAATGACAAATAATTATTTTATAAAAATTATTTAATCTTTAAAAATATATCTCAATAAAAAAATATCAAGGGTAAATAATAACGCACAAAAAATAATGTAATTGTATTATTGTCATCTGTAAAATTAAAATATATATATTATTTCAATATATACTTGTATTGTATATGTATATTAATATATCATATTTTCCTGATATTATTTAAGAGCAAGAGTAACATAAATTTAATTAATTATGCAATGTTTCATGTGAAAGAATTAGTGAATGTCAATGATAAAAAATATACTAAAAAATAGTATAATATTTATACATGCTTAGAAAAAACAAAATGAATGATTTTGTGTAACTATTAATTAAATCACACAATTATTATTTAAATTTACTAACCTAATAAGTATATGTAGACTGTAGATCACAGAGACCTGTTATAACTTAGCGATCTATCAATGGAATGACTCTGTCACACTTTTTCAATGTTACTGCTTGTCGATTAAGTGGTGTCAGTCACGTTTATTTCGATATCACGTCGACAGAACTATATCAACGCAGTTTGGCAACGTCGATTTTCTTAATATAATAATGTATCTTTGATTGATGTATCTGTTATGTCCAACATAAGTAAAATATTCTATAACAACGCTGAAGCAACTGTAAATAGAATTATTCACATAGAATCTAAAGTTAGAGATTAAGAAATATGGACGTTATTTATGAGCTAGAAAAAAGTGCAAAGAATTACCTAGTAAAAGTTTGTCCAATGAGGAAAAATATACTTAAATAATATTTAAACTGTTCTATAATTGATTTCATTATATTGAAATTATCAAGATATATTTATATTCTTAAAGAATCAACTATACCCATTTGACTTTCTTTAATTAGAAAAAGACAATTATCGTTAACCGTCTGAGAAAGTAAAAAAAATATGCAAAAGATAAAACTTGCGATGTTTATTAGTAGAGAAAACCATGAACTTCATGACAAAAAAATTCGGGTGCCATAATTCTAACAGTTCTTTTTATATTAGCATTTATATAATTAGACAAATATTGAAAAACTAAGTGACTAAATAAATATGCTTTCAATACAATAAAATAAAAGAATATAATGGCTCCACGTGACCTCGAACAGTGAAGTGTTAAAAAGCGATGTACTGCGATTATACTATTGGCTGAAATTATTAGCGTAACTTAATTTAAAGTGATTGAATATAATAAATTCAAAATAATGAAGACCATGCATTTTACTTTAAAAAGGACTGGAAAAATTCTTTTGTAATTTATAGATAAATTTACTACTAAAAGACATCTGTAAATTCATCAATATACATCACCAGTTACAACAATTTCATTGACATAGCATAAACTTTTATGATACTGCATCCTTCGAGCGTGTATAACAAAACATATTTGGAGGATACAGTGATAATGCAGCAAAAGGGTCTATCTTTGAATAGTTAAATATAATCAATTCTACTATATACTCTTCCCATGAACATAGATCACATATATAATTGTATAAAAAAAGTTATAAATCATGTGAAATTTTTATGCGTACATCTATTTACGCAAATTTGATGAAATATTTATAAGGGCAGTTTATGTAGTCCGTGCATTCACCATACATGATTTAAAAAGAATAATAGTAATAATGCTTTCATTGTGCAATCTGAATACCATGTTATGGTGTAATCTGAATACTTCGAATGTGTTGCTTGTATATTAATTAAGAGTTTCTTTTATTATTGTTCTTTATTTAAAGATTATTCATGAAATATAATATTAAATTTTATACTGACTTTTTATGACTAAAAAATTAGTTTGCTAAATCTGTCAAACTAATTTTCTAAAGTACCAATTCCAAAATGGTTTTTTCCATTGTGATATTGAATCAAACAAGCGAAAATATTAACACAAATAAAAATCTTTCGAATCATATTCAAATATTTTAATTACATACTGGTAAATCGTTGAAAATTAAGATGTGACATTAAAGTAATTCTTAATTTATATTAATTAAGGTACAGACCCTGTCTATACACATAGAATCGTACACTTTGCATATAAAATGTCAGTCATTCAATTAGTTTATTTAGTTTTGAGTTATTTAAATTTCATTGAATCACTTCTGTGCAAAATGTATAGCAACAGACAGGCCCTTTTGTCGTATGTTCACTGCACTTAGATGGAAAGAAACGAAGACTTAGCTATAAAGATCATCATCTCCATCATCCTGGAAAGTTTGATCACCTTGTGCTGTATCTTGACTACCACCAGCTGCACTTTGTGGAAATCTATAAACATTAATTAAGTATTATTCATTCAATGTCCATAAAGGTATACAAACCGTATATTGTAGATCAGATATTTCGTTGCTTATAATATTTTTTATATTATTTGAATATTTAGATAACTATACAATTATATCTAGTTATATAGAAATATATATAGTTTAGTTTATATAGTTTATATAGTTTAGTTAAACAATTAAAAATATCAATTTATAACCAATATTCTTAGCTAATATAATACGAAAGACGAGATATCTTGTGATGGCTGTAATGTGTTAATATAAACTGATGTATTTAAATATATGTAAAAATACAAAACTTAAATATCTTGAGCACATATGTATCATATAATAGATACATTCAATATATATTTATATTTATACGATTTTAAAGCTATATATGACTTTTTAAGATACTATTTATGATTAGAAACACACACCTGAAATTCGTTCCAAATCCTCGAGATTGTTGAAGAGTTTGTGCAAACATTTCATATTTTCGAATATCATTATCAGAAACAGAACGTCTGGCAAATCTCATTGCTTCTTCAAAATGTGCTCTAGTAATTTCTGGCACAGGATCATCTTCCTCCATCTATGAATATTAAATGAACAAGAATTTATAACTGACATTGATAAATACAATATAAATTAAATAAATATAATATATACATACATGCATATTAGTTAAACGTTATACTTACATCCATTGATACAGATGGATTATTTGCACGATCTTTTTCTCTGCTAATTTCCGTCTCAATACATTGCCTAATGGCAAGTTTACATGCACGTTGACAAATTTCTGTTAAATCCGCTCCGGAAAATCCATGAGTTACTTTGGCTATATAACTCAAATCTACATCCTAGAATATTTTTTCTTGTTATTAAACTATTGAAAAATATACATATTACAATTAAACTATATAATCTATCATTAATTACTTTAGCAACAGGTGATTTTCGTAAATTGGCTCGGAATATTGCTTCACGAGACTTCTCATCTGGCAATGGTATATAAATGAGTTGATCTAATCTACCAGGTCGTAGAATAGCTGGATCAATAATATCAGGACGATTAGTTGCTCCTATAATGAACACATTTTTCTTTGCGCCCATTCCATCCATCTCAGTTAAAATTTGGTTTATAACACGATCTGCGGCTCCGCCGGCATCACCAACTGTGCCTCCACGAGATTTTGCAATAGAATCAAGTTCATCAAAGAACAATACACATGGTGCAGCTGACCTTGCCTGTAAACAACAAATAAATTATTATTTGTATATTATGTACATTATATTTTACATTATATATTAATATATATTATTAATTTTATATTAAGTTTAACTTACTTTATCGAAAACATCTCTAACATTGGCTTCTGATTCACCAAACCACATAGTTAATAATTCTGGCCCTTTGACAGAAATGAAATTTGCCTGGCATTCATTGGCAATTGCTTTGGCTAATAGAGTTTTACCACAACCTGGAGGTCCATAGAATAATACACCCCTTGAAGGTTGCATGCCAAATTTCAAGAATTTGTCAGGATGTTCAACTGGATACTATAACTCACAAAATGTTATATTAATAAAAATAATTTCATATTCGTGTATATATATAAATACGATACTTCGTTATTAAAAATGTATTGTTATCATCTTACCTGTACCAGTTCTTGTAATTCCATTTTAACATTTTGTAGACCTCCAATGTCATCCCATGTAACAGTTGGTACTTCGACAATTGTTTCACGCAATGCACTGGGACTGCTTTTACTCATGGCATACTGAAAAGAAAAATTAATTAAAAAATTAAAATGAATACACAATATTTATACAACTGAAAATCAGGATTATTACTTTAAAGTTTTCCATAGTAACGGCAAGAGATGATAATACTTCTGCGTCAATGTGGTCATCTTCTAAATCAATGAGATCCATTTTTTCACGAATTTGTTGTAAAGCTGCTTCAGAACACAATGAAGCCAAATCAGCGCCAACATGTCCATGAGTTTCTGCAGCGATCTAAAGTATTGTAAGAAATCAGTTAAAATATATATTTAATAAGAACAGGCGTATTTACATTATTTTTATACCATACTTGATGATGATTTTATACTTACCTCTTCCAAATCTACGTCATCTGCGAGTTTCATATTTTTTGTATGAATTCTTAGAATTTCTAAACGTCCTGTTGCGTCTGGTATACCAATATCGATTTCTCTATCAAAACGACCAAACCGACGAAGAGCACCATCAATACTGTTTGGTCTATTAGTAGCAGCCATTACAATGACATGCGAGCTTTGTTTCATACCATCCATCAAAGTTAACAGCTGCGAGACTATACGTCTCTCGACTTCACCATGAGTCTATATAAAAAATATAGAAGGTGTTATATCACTAATTATACTAAAAATGTATAGATATTAATCAATTAACGAAGACCTTTTCCCTTTTAGGAGCAATTGCATCTAGTTCATCAATGAAGATAATTGCTGGAGAATTTTTCTCTGCTTCCTCAAATGCTTTTCTCAAGTTACTTTCTGATTCACCGGCAAGTTTACTCATAATTTCAGGACCTATAAATATATAAAATAATATAAAATATGTATTATAAAATTTTAAGATTGTTTATATACATATACCTAATATTTTAATTATATTTTACATTGAAATATTTACAAATTCTGTTTTAAAATACACATACCATTTATAAGGAAAAAGAATGCTCCAGTTTCATTTGCAACAGCACGTGCAATAAGTGTTTTACCAGTACCGGGTGGACCATATAACAAAATACCACGTGGAGGTTTTACTCCAATAGCTTTAAAGAGAGATGGATGTCGCAATGGTAATTCTACCATTTCTTTGATTTGAGCCAACTGTTTACGGACACCACCTATATCATCATAACCAACAGCATTAATTGCCTCCTCTTCTTCCTGTAAAGACAATTATGCATAAATGTAATATTTATTTGATAATTGAATCATTAGATAAATTCAAATATTCATCTGATACTAACTTCTCTTTTTATAGGATCGCCTTCACAGTGAATCACAGTATCTGGTGCAACTATACAAAATGGACCTGGATCAGTTTCAACAACTTTGAATTCTACTGCTCTCATACCACCACGGACAATAAAATTATCATCTTTATGAAGTGGACGATATGCTTCCAGAAAGTATGGTTTCAAATAGACTTCAAATAAGTTTCTATAAAATAATGAATATTATTAAATTAAATAATAAGTATTAATAATTTTTAATAGCTTGTAAAATAATCAAATTGTTAAAATTATGTACAGTATATTAGGATTAAATTATTTATAATTTATATATACAAATTTACCCAGCAAGTCCATCTACAGTATCATCCATTGGTAATATATGAATTCGTTTACCATATTTTACTTCAGGACAAGCATGAACAGATACAACATCACTTAAACGAACACGTAAATTATTTCTGACAACACGATTCATGCGGATCTTTTCATCTGGACAAGTGTCGTCTGAGAGAACAATGCATACTGTCTCTTTACGTCTTTTTCCTCTTAATAATACAGTATCTCCACGAAACAATAGTAATTCGTCCATTTTTGCTTGTGAAAGAGCAACTACAGAATTATCATCTGCAGTTGCTTCATCTACAATTAATCTATTGGGTTTATCCTTCTTACGAAGGATTGCTGTCGCCAAATCTTCTCTGTAATAATTATAAAATATATCATAAATACATAATAGTAATTAAACTTAACAATTATTATTATAATTTAATTTAAAATAATTTTATTAAATTATTTTTCATCATATTTAATAGTTTAAATAATAATTAGTCATCAATAGAACCTAACAATAAATTATAAAATATATGCATACTATATAAATTATATATTATAAAGTGTTTTTTTAATTGATTATTCAACTTTAATTAGCTTGACATAGAATATTACAATATTTAATATATATGATTTAAACATATATTTATTAGTAATCGATATAGATTCCTAATTCATGGATCACATTATTATTAAAATCATTAAATAAACATTTGATTATCTCAGGCATCCTATATTTTTTCATGAAAATCTTTATGTTATTCTTTAGAATACAATTTAAATTTAATATTTAATTTCGAATATCAAACAACTTTGATTTGACTGATTGTTAAAATCCCTTTGTCACGCTGAACCTACCACCATTCAGTCATGATCGCTCAAATGATAAGAGGCATTCGCATCATATAGAATACTAACACTGACAAAAAATAGATTGAAAAAAAGAAATCGATTTTTGTTCAGGTGGAATCTAGCAGTCGGGAAGAAATAAAATATCTATATCTTAGAAAACATAGCCTTGCGACGACATGATGACAACGTAAAATTGAGACTCGACCGACGCACAATTATCTACGTGTCTTAGTGAATAGAAAAAAACAGCGGCAAAAATGACAAAAATCATCATAGGTACAGAAATTTATTCTACGTAATTATATTTTCACTTACCCTTTTGTATCACCCATTATACGCCTGATTTAACGAAGGAAAAATGTATACGCAACGGTCACAATTCGATCTATGGAACTCGCAACTCAGCAACAATATCACCCAGTCCAATGATTATCCCACATTCGAAACTGTCATGGCTTGCGTTGGACTCCCCACCATTAAATTTGTAGATTAAGATGCGCGCGCATAGTCAGACTGTTTATTGTTAAATATCAATGATTGGATATCATTATTCGCGCGCGCGAAATCCTCCAATTAATAATTTACAAGTATCACTTCTACTATGTAATTGGAAAATTTTTTTTAATTTTGGGAAGATCATTGGATGGATTTTGTTATAAATATTAATTCGAATGATTAGGAGAATTAATTTTTATTTGTTTTAAACTTGTTTATAACATAAATAGATCATTTTGTTAATGATTAAGATACATAGTTGATTACACTTTCTCAATTATAACAAATGGTTACGTATGACTCATTGAATAAAAATCTTTAGGAGAAAAGATATCTATCTGTACGTAATACGGAAACTTTGAATTCTGTCATCAATAAGTAGTAAAAATACTTTTATAACAATTTGCAAATTATTTTCATGAAATAATATCTATTGTTAAAATTTTTAATTCGACCAATGAAAAGATATATTCGAACTTATGCTAAATTCATTACGTTGACTTGAAATTCCTTACTGGCATAGTGTGTTAGACTTTAAATAAATTACGTCATATAGTCATATGTATGTATGAAGTGAGAGTTCGATAAATATACACACTTGTCAAATTGATCTGCAATGGCCGGAATAAAAGGTTATTCGGCATGTTCTTGATCGTCTGATATGCGATTTTTCACTTTGTGAAATTTCGAAGAAATGGCATCAACGGGAGGAAGTTTCTATATAAACTGTGAAACGCGATATGAAATATCGAAACATAACCTTTTTACTTTAATTGTCACTGTCAAAAATTTGTACATACTTCAATTTTTGCTTTAAATTTCATAATTTAAATATATCTGTTTTTCAATGTCGAACGAAAGTGTATCATATTTATACTATTTAATTCGTCATAATTATAGTCAACTTCGTCGTGTTCAACATGATATTAAAAAGTGAGGAGAGAAAGCTTTGTCCCGAAATTTCTGTTATAACTTGTTTTTGGTTTAAAGTCAGTAATTTTAACATGCATTTTATATAACTCTAGCTATTTATAAGCTAATAGCTTATTGGCAGAAAAATAAAATTTTCTTATGAAATAGACACAAATGTACTTATATAAAACAAAATAATAGTATAGTCATATATTTTAATATATAAAATATATCAGTTTAATATTTATATAAAATTATATCATTTTTTGTTTCATGTTATGTAATCTGCTACCCATTATCATTCAACAGCGTAAGTGCTTTTTTATAGACATGTAAATATTTTATTTTTTGTCAGTTAATTGGAATAAACTAATTATATATATTATAGATTGGTTCTTCTGGCATTCTCAGGCTCTATTGGTATGACATTAGTCATCCTTGGTTGTGCATTACCACAATATGAGTATGTTCTTTGTATCATTTAATACTATATTTTAATATATTTAATAATATTGATTATAAATATGTCTTTCAGAGTATGGTGGCCATTTTTTGTAGTTTTATTTTATGTATTGGCACCAATTCCAACAATAATTGCACGTCGTTATACAGAAGACCCGGCAAGTAATAGTAATCCATGTTTAGAGTTGGCAATATTTATTACAATAGGATTTGTTGTATCTTCATTTGCTCTTCCTATTGTATTGGCACGAGCACCTGATGAAAATCCAGTTGTAAGTTTTGATTATTATTTTTTCAGTTTAATTTTTTATTATTTATTAGAGTTTAATATTTGGATATTTATTTTTACAGATACATTGGGGTGCCTGCTATTTAACTTTAGCAGGGAACGTTATTGTTTACTTGACCTTAGTTGGATTTTTTGTGACTTTTGAACAAGATGATGTAGATTATAATATGTGGTGAAGTGATACTTTATTGTACTTACAAAAAAGGTAAATATTAAAAATTACTGTTATTATTGCTTATTATTCTATGATTTATGTATATTTGTAGGTTTTCTGTGAGATCATTGAGAGAAAGAGAGAGATAAAAAAATCATGCAATGTGCTGACTAACAGCTATGTGTTAATACTAAAACAATATAAACCTATTGTACACTATTTACATAATATGAAAAAATCGATTTTATTACAACATAGTTGATATTGATATTATATCAACTAGTATAATAATAATGCACTAATATTAGAGAACATGATGGCATAATACAGCTTGATGATCAAATTATAAATCTTAATCTAAGAATAACACACTTGTCATATAAGAAACATATATCTTTTTATTGATAGAATTATCAAAAAATGTAACAATGCAAGGATATATGAAGTATATATATAACTTTTATATATATACATATATATATTTATATATATATATATATAAATAAAAGTTTTATTTTTTATTTAATATAAGAAAAAACCTTCATAATTATAATAATAATAAAATTAAAGTTTATTATTTGTTGTTATATCTTATGCTATCCTATAAAAATAAAATTCGCTTAGGTACAGAGGTGATTAATAAAAATTTCTTATTAAATATAGTTTTACATTTCTATGAAACCATTTCATAAGATACATTTCACTCGAAAAGTTTAGGTTAGTCAATTTCAAAATATTTTTAATTTATTATAAATAAATAAAAATAGATATTAATTTTTGCGATAAAATATGCAATTTGTTAATTAGAAGAAAAATACTTTTCCAAATAAAACTAATTTATTTAAATAATAAATACAGTTCAATGAAATTTAAGCAAAATATTAAAATAATATTTATTATAGTATATATACATTATAAATATATTCTATAACAAATATCAAATGAGTCATAACATTTAACTTAATAGTTACATATAAAATAAAATAGTAACATTTTCTTATACGATTATAAGTGAAAAGACTTGCAATTGAAAAACATAAAAACATTATTTGCATTATATTATATATATTTGTTAAAGAGTTATATTATTAAAAATTTATAATTAAGCAAAGAAATGTAAAATGTTTTTTAATAAAAAAATGTATTCAAAAATTTATATTTTGTTTTTAAAAAATTTATTTTTTAATAATAAATAAACTAAACTATTGAAATGATCCTGATAATGACATAAATACAATAAATTTAATACATATAAAGTTTACACATAAATTTAATCCAAAAACTTTATATCTACGTATAATGTGAAAACTGGAAAGATTCAATTATTATTGTATATAAAATATCATTATTCGTCCCTGAAATGATTCATTCCACATATCTATCACAATGGAAAAAATTCATATCTGACACTTATCTTAACATCATAACCAACATTAATATCTTTAAAGAAGATCTGTCATAAACATTTATTATTAAACACAGCAGAATGTAAGTTCACGCAGGTAAAAAGTAAATTTCCTAAAAATTATCAATAATTTCATGTCATTTTTAAATTAATTGATTTAATTAATTTTTTAGTAATAAAAAATATGGATTCAGATGTGAATAATGATAATAACCCAACGATGGATATTACAGAATTGCATAATACTTTAGACACGCAAGATTATGTACAACAAAGTTCATCACGATTTCCATGTAAAAAATATACATATATAATGTTAATAAACTAGAATAGAATATAATAAATTATACAATATAATTTATTATATTCTATATAGAGTTATAGAATTATAGAATATAATAAATTATAGAATACAATTGTATCATTATAATTAAAACAATTATCTGGTTATAGTACGGCCTGATGAAGATAATATCCTGAAAGATTTAGATTCTGTAATCCCATATGCAACTTGTCATACGAGAAGATCCACAAAAATATCATTTAAAGATCATGCAGAAACTATTGTATCTCGTTTACAATGCAGCAAACGACTCATACAAGACGATTTAACTGCTGAACAACTTAGAATAGATATCTTAAAATCTATGCCACAATGTTTAACAGTAAGAAGATTGGTAAAGTCTAAATTACACACAGTCCAACAGAGATCAAAAAAGAAATCTATTAGCTACTGGAAAAGATTGAAATATAAAATCAGTTTCAGTTTCCGAAAGGTTTTATATTATTATATGATAATTACTTACAATGAAATAGGCATATTTCTTAATTATAAAATAAATTTCTTTTTAATGTAGATACATGTAATAATTCAAGATATTGGGCAGAGTATGGAAATTTGGTACCATATCATAAAATCAATAGAAGGTCAGTTTGGAAGTGGAGTAGCTGTTTATTTCAAGTTTTTAAGATGGCTAATTCTTTTAAATATTATTTTTTCTCTCATGAGGTATTTGCTAATATTTATATTTTGTTTGTTTAATATTTATATTTCGTAAAAAATTATTTTTGAGAAATTTTATATAAGTTTTGTACATTTATAGCATTATTTTTATTGTTCTTCCACAATCTTTGGATCAAGTATATTTGCCTTCATCTATTAATGTTTTGGATTTTGTAACAGGCAGTGTAAGATTGTTAACATATTATTAACCAATAAAAAAAAGGTAATTTCTCATTATTAATAATAAAAATATTATTTGTATATATCACAGGGATTTTTTGAAAATACGATAATGTATTATGGATTCTATAATAATGGTACAGTGGAAAAAATGGTTAACAGTACATATAATATTCCTTTCGCTTATTTTATTACATTACTTTGTGCTTATATATTTACATTCATTGTACTTTCTGTTAAGTAAGTAATATTTAATAAATTCATTATTAAAATTTTATATATAAACATATATTTTATCTATTTTATTTATCTTTTATATAATTACATTATTTGTTGTAGAGTAGTGTTATCTTATCGGAAACGTTATATTGAAATTCGTGAGAAAGTACAGTATTTCTATTGTAACAAAGTATTTTGTGGATGGGACTTTGCTATATCCTCTACGAAAGCTGCAACTTTACAATCTATATCAATTTATAGAGAATTACAAGAACTTTTAGCAGAAACAGAAAAGCATTCACGACAAAATTGTCTTATAACATTTTGTGTTATGTTTGTACGTATAATAATTTCTATAATCACTTTTTTTATGATATGTGGGACTAGTGCAATATTATGGGTATTATTAAATATACATGAAACGGATAAATCGAAGACATCAGTAATGATTGTACCTGTGGTTATAACAATTATTATGAATATATTTTCAATAATTATCTCTTGCTTAGTGAGTATATAATACTATTTTGTATATGATTATATTTATTACTAATTGACTATTGAGTATATGATTATATTTTGTGCGATATTAGTTTAACTATTTAAAATAATTATAAGTAGAAAATTAAATATATTATTTTTTATTTTAGGCACAAGTTGAAAGATATAACAGTAAACGCACTGAACTGTATGTAACTGTAATTAGAATTCATGCATTAGCTGCTATAGTAATTAGTACCCTTCTTGCTTTTTGGCTAATACATAGCACAGATGGCTGTTGGCAAACAGAATTAGGAAAGGAAATTTATCGACTTATATTTTTAGATTTTATTATCTCTGTTTTTATTTTATATGTAATTGAGGCAGTACGTTCTATTATATATTTAACAGTTTGGAAAGGAATCGGAAGAACAAAATTTAATATTGCTCGTAGTACATTAAACCTTATTTATAATCAAATGCTTTTTTGGTTAGGTTGTTATTTTAGTCCATTATTATCCGTAATAATCATTGTAAAAATGATTTTAACTTTTTATGCAAAAAAGCATAGCTTATTAAACTATTGTGAGCCATCTTCAAGACCTTGGAGAGCAGCACAAACACAGACTCTTTTTTTAGCTCTTTCATTCATTGGAATAATTAGTGTATTGATTATGGTAGGATATATCATTACAAATGTACGAAGTGATGAATGTGGGCCTTTTAAAGGACATAACTATACTTGGGAATATGTAGTTGATGGTGTCCTTGAACTAAAAAGGGATAGTGATTTTTGGCTACTTATAAGTGAGCTTGCAAGACCATCAATTGGAGCAGCTGTATTGATTGCAATGAGGTATCACTTTTATTTATAAATTTACTTTTATAAATTATTTCTCATATGTTTCTTTTATATTACAGTGTTGGAGTCTATTGGCTTAGAGCTAAAGCACAAGCAAATAAGGAAATGTTGACAATTTTGCAAGATATGCTCTTTTTACATGCACGAGATAAGCAATTTCTTTTTGCTAAAATTACTAATGCAGGTAAATGATATATGATATAAGAAGAATATGTAAAAATTTACTCTAAGCATAATATTTTATGCTAGGTAAAATTTATAGACGAAGTCATTTAAGATCTTTTAAGTGTTATATTACTGATGAAACAAAAAACTTTATCAAATGAAAGAGAATAAATATCATTCAGGAAATGTGGATAAAATATTTTACAAATTACGAATTAAAATAAGATACAAAATATACAATTCAATAAAATGATAATATAAATATAAAAATATTTTTTTTTTCTTTTTTTTTAATCCTTATTGATCATTTGTGACGAGATATTGTAACTTTACGATAATATATGGTAATATATCACCGTAATATATAGGAGGTAACCAAACTGAATAAGAATAAAGCTTCAACCTAACAGCAGATTATATACAAAGTATTAATGTTCATTAAGGTTTAATTAACGATAATTTATATATATATATATATATATATATATCTAGAAAGTATTTTTATTATGTGCCAAATAATCAAATAATGAAATAACCAAATAAACAAATAATGACTATATTTTTAAAAGTATTACACATTTATATTATTTTTAAGTAATAATGTTTATATGAACATATATATGTTTTAATTATATACAGATATTTAATTTTTTTAATGAATAGTCTAAATAAGGAAAAAATTGTAATATAAAATATTGAGATTAAACATAATATTTTATCGAAAATAAATATCAGATATATTTGTTAAAATATAAATAATTATTGCAAAGCAACTTATTTTTTAGTTTTTCGTATTACTACAAATACATGACATATATATGCATTTTTATTTATCACGATACTACAATATTGTCACCATAGTTACATCGTAAGTATGAGTGTTCGATACGCCGAAGTTCAAGGATCATCATATTGTGAGGTATAATAATTACAAATTTGACACAAATATTTAATTATTCATTAATATAGATTTGTAATATTTTTTTATAAAACTGTATCTTTCTTTTGTCATAATTAGCATCCGATTAATGGAAAGTTAACGTAAGTCACTTTTCTACGTAAAGAAGGCTAACGTACATAACTTTATGACAACCTAAAAATGCTTATTATTATTTTTTTTTAATCAAAAGATAAAAAATGACGGATAAAAGATCTGTTTGTAATAATACATTTCCAACTATATCATGGATACCAGTACTAGAAGATTGTGTAAATTCGGCAACAGAAATAACCAAGGTATTAGAATATGATAAATATCCAAAACTATTAAAAGATCAATTATGGACAAAGGCAGTACCATATAAATATTGGTCTACTTATACGAAACCAAGTGAAGAAATAGGAAGTATATATACTCCAACTTCAGCACAATATCGTGTAAATACTTTAACAAAAAAGAAAAAGCCATTAGATTGTTTACCATTTGGAATCAAAAACAAGTTAAGGATGCCACCACGCGAATATATTGAATTGTATAAAGAAGAAAGACGACGAAAAATAACACGGAAGTTCAAACAAGAACGAAATATTCTTTCGAAAAATATTATTAATTTGAAAGATTTGGCAGATGGTACATGGTCACGTAGAAAAGCTGAGAAAGAGGCTAATCAAAATATTGAGAATAAAGAATTATTGAAGGAACAAAAAAATAAATTGAAGAAAAACATTCCAGGGAAGGAAGTATGTATGATATTAAGAAATTATTTGATTATACTATTTAATATAATCTATATGATAATTAACATTTACAATCGCATGAAGTAACAAAAGATATTACAGATTTTGCGAAATAAAGAAGTAGAAATGCCAAGGTCAATCGAAGATCAATTAGAAGAATTGATGATTCGGGTTGAAGAAGAGCAAAATCGAAAGATACGAGACGAAGATATTGAAAGACTTTTGTACTTAAGAAATGAATGCATTGCCGATCATCATTTAGAACCATATAATTATGATAATATTGAGAATGCAAAAAAATGTATCATTGGTAGATTACGCAAATGTGAGGAGTAAGTCCTTATCATCTATCACATTTTGTAATTAACAATGAATGCAATTTATTCTTCATTTAACAAATTTTTTATAAAAATTTTTTCGTTTAACAAAAACTTTAACAAATTTTTTTTCAGTTTTAATGGAATAATCAAAAAATTAGAAGGGGAAATAATTGATGATTATAAAAAGAGTCTCTGTTATTCCATAGTCAATTATATTCTTTTGGATGCCGATGAAAGAAAACGTTTGCTTATAGAGACAATGCCTATAGAATATCCTGTTTTAGTTATCCGTGCTCCAGTACCATGGCATCAATATAAAATTCTAGCTGATCATTTTATGGAACATAATCTTTTTATAACGAACGAGATATTGAAAGATATTCGCGACTTATGGTTTTCCAAGTTAGTTTTTTAAGTAAAAAATATGCAAATATTATTACATAGTTATTATGATTATAAGTATATAATTATTTTTCTCAGATATCATAACACCATGATTTTACAAATTCAAGACTTGGGAACATTCCCTGTGGCAGCCACGGAAATTGAATCAAAAATAAACGAATTGTGCAACAATGCTGTTAATATATTAACAAAAAAATGGTTAGCTGACGTAGCTGATATTTTTTTTGAGAAAAAGTATGCATGGTCGGGACTTTTTGAAAAGGAGCTACACACATCAACGAGTCTAATCGAAAAATATTTTCGAGCTGTCAATTCTTTGTTGTCAAGACAGTTAAGAATCATGGTATTGAAAACTATACAACATTTGAGAAATTTTTTTATGCAGTATAGAGCGGGAAATTATTATGAAGGCGATTATGAAGATTTGATGTTTATTAAGTAAGCATGATAATTTGTTCGTCAATTTTTAATTTAGCAAATATGTAACGCAATATAATTTCATTTTAGACCCCCTTTCATAACAGTGAACGTAGAAGTGGAAGTTGGAACAATGAGTGTGTGTTGTAAACCAAGTATTTTGGATATACATACTATCATTTCTAGATGTTTCAATAAAATTCTTAATGTTGCTATGGTCTTACCCAAAATCGAGCTGATTTTATTTCCTGAATTGGATAAAAAAGGTTTTCTGTTCTCAATATCACGATATGAAGACGAGGTGATGTTAATTCTATGAAAATAATAGAATATGCATGTAAGTGCAATATGTATATTTACATTCATATATGCAGGTATTGATGTTAATTACCGATACATTAGATACGGTCAGCGCACACATTCCTGGCCCACGGGAATATCTTAAGTGTTATGACGATTTATTATACATCATAGATGGCAGAGCAAAGAAGAATTTAGATGATTTCTTTAGTATTCAACCATTTCCAGTTTTGAGAGAGTTCGAGCAAAAGATCGTGTCCTACGACAATTTAAGCAAAGAAATATCTATGTTTCGATACAAGGTATATTAATAATAAAACAGTATCTTAAAGATATTATTTAAACAGTTATATTTTTCGATTTAGATACCGCTGAATATGATTGAAATTGATTGCACCATTGTAAACGATATCATGCGACAAATACTTCATGAACTTCGTACAAAAATTTGTGATTTTTTCGCGGATGAATTAAGACTGAACAATCGTGAATTGTGCTCTATCTTTGATGAAATAGCAGAGAATATTTCAAAAATGCCTGAAACGACGCAGGAAGTAGTGGAGCTTTATAATTATCTTTGTGAAAGTCGAGATACTACAATGTTCAATTTGAGGACTCGATTGGCACGTTCTACGGAATTGACTTTGTTCCTTTTTAATTATCAACCATTGACGGATGAAGACATTCAATTGAATTCGCGTACGATTACGTGGCCCAAAGAAATGGAAAACATAATGGATTTAGCAACGACTAGGTTGAACATGAGAAAAGAATTTCTTGAAAGTGTACTGCGAACAAGACGAGATAATTTTGAGAAGAAAATAAATGCTATGCAAATAGCGATCGAACGATTCAAAAGAAAGGATCCGCCTGTATTGACTATGGAAGAAATGGAACGGGCAACTGAGGAGGTTGAGCAATTATCGAAGGATATGGCGGATATAAGAAAAGAAGCAGAAGAGATTAACGAAGAGGAGACTCTTCTCGAGATAGAATTAAGTCCATATATGACGATACCTGCGATGTCATCTATTATGGATGTCTTCAATAAATTATGGCATATTGCATTGAATTTCTACAAGAATTACGAAAAATGGTTTTACGGATCATTCGTTGGGCTTGACGCCGATGAGATTCGTGAGGAGGTTGACGAGATCTGGAGAACGCTCTACAAATTGTCTCGCGTGCTCAGTGATATTCCTGGTGCAAGACGCGTCGCTGAAATGGTACGTGCTAAAGTCGAAAAATTCCAACAGTTTATTCCAGTTCTTCAAACGATTTGTACTCCTGGTTTAGAAGCTCGACATTGGGAACAAATTAGTGAAATTGTTAAAGTACCTATAGAGATCTCAGATACTAGTTGTCTTTTCGACATGATTGAATACGGTCTATCTATTCACATAGAAAAACTTGAAGAAATTTCATCTGCTGCTACTAAAGAACACGCACTGTTGAAAAACTTGCAAAAGATGAAAAGTGAATGGGCCGAAATTTACTTTGAATTAACATTGTATCGGGATACTGGTGTAAACATACTGACGGCAATAGATGATATTCAAGTGCTATTAGACGATCATATATTGACAGCTCAGACAATGAGAGGTTCAATTTTTGTGAAGGCTTTTGAAAGAGATATGCAAGCTTGGGAAGAAAAACTAATCATGATGCAGGATATTATTGATCAGTGGTTGACATGCCAAGCTACTTGGATGTACCTTGAACCAATATTTAGTAGCGAAGATATAATGCGTCAAATGCCTACAGAGGCTAAGAACTTTAGACGAATTGACAAGATTTGGCGTAATATTATGACATATGTGACGAACAATACAAGGGTTATAGATGCTACTACCAAGCCAAATATGTTGCAAGAATTTATGCTCTGCAATACTTTATTGGAAGAGATACAGAAAGGCTTAAATGAGTACCTAGAAAAGAAACGTTTGTTCTTTCCAAGATTTTTCTTCTTGTCTAACGATGAGTTATTGGAGATTCTTTCGGAGACGAAGGATCCGCAAAGAGTACAGCCACATTTAAAAAAATGTTTCGAAGGTATAAATAAGTTACGTTTCACTAAAGAAGAAGATATAATCGGAATGTTATCGAG